TCAAATGTTACTTTATCGATAAATATAATCGACAAAGAAAACAAAAATTAATTTAAATCTTCACTTTTGTTTGGAATCAACATGTTTACAAATTTCAATAAGCTGTATCTATGCTAAAAATTGTCCGATTTCGATGATTTTTTTCTCTTTTGTAGGGAATTTAGTATAGCATTAGTATACTATAGCTATATGCCAAATATGTAGTTATTTTCAAATTAAATTATTCTATAAAAGAACTTTCCTAATGAATATTAATCGAAAATCAGAAAAAATAAATAATTAAATAAAAACAAAAAATATTGGAAAAATTTCTAGTCGATTTCGATGATTTCTTTCTTTCATTTTGTAGGGAATTTAGTAATCTTTTATATAATCATGGGCATAACCAAAAGTGTGCAATTTTTTAGTTATTCCCAAATAAAGTTTGTTTTCTTTCATAACTTGTTTGCCTGAATTTTCGGGGAGATTGGACAATTTTGCCCGCCTGAAGGAGAAGGAAGCCTTCGAAATTGGTAGCTCTTGAGATTTCATGAAAAATTAACGATGATATGGCTTGCCGATCAAAAACACCATCGATAAATAATATAAACTCCTCCTCTCTCGATCATAGAGACCTCAAGTCGAGGAAATGAGACATGTATTTAATGACAGTACTACAATTAAAGTAAGATTGTGTGGCGAACCCTATGCTTTGCGTTATCTCGAAAATAGTAAGTTTTGGGGCTTAAAAACGCAGGATCCAATAGTTCCGAGGGTACTATAAATAAAAATCTTTAAGATCCAATTTATCCCGTATCGATCTACAGACCTACCACCATTCCAGTATTGAAGTCTAGTTTGTATCGACTTTATTTATTTTAGAAATAAAACAAAAGTGAAGAATACGATTCGCTAACCCCCTGTGAAATTCTGAATCCAACGGTACCCCATTCATGGTATTAGAGCATGTCAGGAGCTTATATTTGGTACAAAACCGATTTCGAACCTTACTGTAATAATATATGTGGGGATGGGGATAAAACAAAATTTTCGCTACTTTTCTTTCTCTAAAACTGAGAAAGAAAAACATCACATGTATGAATTCAAAACATACGTGGATTCAAAACCACTTTCCACCTTAATATCGAACTAATAATACTATATTTTAATATTGAATATAGTTTACATCATCATCATTCATTTCTCGATCTTGGTTGTCTTAAGAGTTGCCCCATACATCTCTCTGTCCTTATTCCAAGGATTCTGCCACAGACACTTTCTTTATTTATCCATCGCAACTCCGATTTACCCACTTTTCTTTTTCCACCCGGCTCTATGCTGAGCAGGTTCTTTGGAGTTGTGGTCTCCTTTATCCGTGCAAAGTGATCATCTCAGTGATGCTTTTCGGATATATTACGACTCCTTGTATAAGTTGGATCGCACCAATTTTGTATTCCCGTTTTAACCAGATCGCTTCATTCAATCGCTCATTCAACACTCCTTGTCACTGGTTACCAAAAAGTATTCTGCCCTTTTTTTTGTGTGTGTGTGTGTGTATCAAATTACAATTGTTTTTTAGTTGTGAGTAATATTTGTTTGAAGATTTTTTAGATTATTCTAGAATAATGTATTTTTGTTTTAAATTCAATGATTTTCTTAACAAACACGTTTGTACGGCATTTCTATTTTTTTTTCTTTTCATATGCCTTAGATGTTTTTATATAACTCAACAGCTTATGAGTAGATGATTGAATGATATGATATAAAGTTGCTGGAATAATGTAAGACATTTTATGATGAAATATATTACAAATAATTTATATAGGATTTATTTTATCTTCTTTAAGCGAGGCAAATCAGTTTGATATTATATTAAGGATAATCTAACTTGCGAATTTGACATTCTGATCCTTTTACTTTTACAAAGAGGTATTTAATTTAGGGGATTCTGGGGGGAAGTTATTTCAGATTTTTTTTCCTTGTGGTCTCGCAGAGAAGACTGAATTTCCTTAAGTTTATTTTATTTTTTTTTTAATCTTATTTATTGAAAAATATTACAATCTGTCTCAAGGACATTTATAATAGTGTTCACAGATCACATTCACACTCTATGTACTGTAAATAAAATAAATTATACAGAAAAATAATATATATACAATAAATAAGAATAAAATAACCTAAAAATAAATGAATAAAAATAACACATACATACCTATATACAATATTTACAATCTGGTGAGAGAACTCCAAACCAGACTTGTCCCTCCAAGTGTGGAGGGAAAAGCATGGCTCCAGGAGATCACAGCACTTCTCTCTCAACCGCGTCACTGGGACTAAACCCAGTGGAGATTGAGCAAGAGTGCTTAAGCCACATACACTCATGTCGTGAGTGGAGAATCTGGCCATTGCCAGAACTCCAGTATTTACAAACTATAAAAGGTCGCGGGGCCACTGCCGCTTCAACCTCCTTGGAGGATTATATGTATGGGTGGTGCTGGATAGAGATTGTGCAAAGGGATTCGGATGATGGGTAAGGTTCTGGTGGAATTTTGATGGGATTAGGTCTAGGACAAATGGAATATTAAGGTCATGGTGTAGGGTTTTGTTGGTTATATAGAAAGGAGCATCGACTATTGTTCGAAGGATTTTGGATTGGAAGGATTGGATGCGTTTGATGTTAGAAAAAAAAGTTAAGTTTATTAAAATCGGTTTGTGCAAATTCTTGAAGTGAAAACTTCTTTAGACGCGCTTTGTACTTTTTTTGTGGCTAGCGAATGAGACTAAACCGTCATGCTCGGCTATGTGACGCTCATTTGCGTAAAGTTCACTCGAGTCGACTGATTGAAGTATTTTATGATTTGGATTAAAATGTTTCAAAAACGTCAAATCACACCTGCATACCGTAAGCGAGGGAAATGTTCAGCATGTCATCCTCTTTGCAACGAGCGATTATTGTATAAATTTCATTTGGAAATGTCGTCGAGTTAGATTGGGAAAAGGGAAAAAGAGTGTTTACAAACAACAAAAAATAATGACTGTTTTGAACATTGGACTAAAATATCTCAACATATAAATGGCATGTTGATTTTTTTAATTTAAAACTTTTGAATTATGGTTTTTAAACGAGATTCGTTCAAGAGAATTAGTTCTGACAACGGGTTAGTCAATGTGTCTACAAAGAAATTGAGAAATCTCATTGTGAATTTTCTTTTTATTTTGTTAAGCACTGCAGTAGAACTACTTTAGTTCCTAGTTGCAGTTCCGCACAAATATTGAAGGCAGCACTGAGTCGAACCCAGATCGTGGTGGTTGATTTGACTTTTATAAGTGGATCCATGAATTTATATCTCTTATTACCAAATATTAGTACCACACTGTGGACTACTTTCGACGTCTCTCCAACTTCACTATATACAGAGCCATTCGATCCAAATGTTGCAGTAGTACATAATAATACAACTACATATCATATCATAACCACGATCCTGTTCTGCTTACAAGTTGGCCGGATGACCAAGTGGTGACCACTCGCAACATTGAAGATGCAGTGAAGATAATTAACTGTATGAGCCCTAAAAAGTTCACGGATCAACTTGAAGAAGGGGGGGGGAGTAATAAAACCAGTGTTTTTCTTAGGTAAAGGTCAGAGAATAAGTTCAATTGAAGAAGATAGCACCATCAAATATCTTGGGTATTTTTCTTCTCTTGTGAGTTGAAATTCGATTATTATTCAATTTGCTGAATCAAAATATGAAAACTTGAGTCTCCTTGAGCTGGATCAGAAGATAAATATAGTAAAGGGGTGTGTATTTCAATTTGTAAAATATTCACTGCAAATAGTGCCATAGAAGTGTATAGGCGATCAACTACAAATAATAATAATTATTTCGATGAAACAATGAAACCCAAAACAAGGATGAAGAGTAGTAGTCTCAAAGGTAAGGGATAGGATGTAGAACTTAATTAGATGTGTAAAAAGGTCAGATTATCGTACTTTATATTTAGGACTTTTAGCCAGGTTTTTGGTGCAAATACAAGTGTGAGCGGCATAACAATTGGCAGGTTCAGTAACGGGTGCCCAAAAGGGGGTTTTGTGGCAAGTTGCGCCATCAAAATTTTTGGGGAGGATATATTTTGACAAGTTTTGGAATTTTTGAGAGGAGGCACATTTCAACGGGTTATGAATTTTCGAAATAAAAAGTTTTAGAATATGTGACAAGGAGGAAACATGAAGCAGACTGATGATCTACGAATTTTCTAATTCTACTTTATTTTACTCTGTTTTTTAAAGAAAATATAGACAAATGAAATATCTTCAAAGAGAGGAATAGGTTCTTGCGCCATCGACCTTGGGGGGGGATGGTCACTCCTGAGTTCAATCTTTCTTTTTAATAAAATTTCAAATTAAGTAAACATTTGACAAATCATGGAGCAGTATTACTTTACATATCCGTTGTTAAGTATTTTATTAATTTAAAAAATAATCAATAATCCTATTGATTGTTTATCAACATATTCTTCTATTGAACAATATCCTGTATTTCTGTACCAGCTATGTATTCTTTAGAAAAAAAAAATGAAATATTAGTTATAGATTTATATTGATGTCTTAAATAATAAATTAACAATATTAAATTGCTAAAACTATTATGGGCCTGTACAGCAGAAGGTGTGGATTCTGCGAAAGCTACACACGTTCCCAAAATCAAAGTTATACAGTCAGGAAATCGGGGAACAATTCCACTATCGCCACAGTACATTACGATTTGCACAATAGACATTTATTTACTCATATCATTCCCTCAACATCACACAACTTTCAAATTCCATCCGGTATGATTCCATTCCATTACTATTAATATTTGTAACTCCTATCCTGATAGCTAGAAATGTACCAGTTGAAATATACTTGATCGAGACATCTTTCAATTATCGAATTCACAAGATAGAGCTAAGTCCTTAGTAGTGAATTTCATATTATTTAATCAATTAGTAATTTAATGTTGGATTCCACTTGGCAGGCGCAGTCGAAGGAGAGGCTGCAGGAACTGCTCAACGAAAAGGACAGGTTCGGGTGCTCGCCGCTACACCACGCCAGCCGCGAAGGACATATCAAGAGTCTTGAAAACCTCATCAAGCTCGGAGCTGTCATCAACTTGAAGAATAACCACAATGAAAGCCCGCTCCATTTCGCAGCCAGGTAAGTTTTCACAAAATTTGTATAAAAAATAATAATAGCACTCCTTAAATAAAATAATGAAACAAATATGTTTTTGTAAAATCTATACAACACATAATGGTTATGTTTGTTGTTTGTTTGTTTTGATGTCTAGGCGCAAAACATCCAGGTCATCAGCGCCCGATCAACTAAATAACACTACTTTTATACTGTTTGGATGGTTTGTCCAAAAAATAAGCATAAAAAAAAAGGATAAAAATAATTAAATAAAAGGATTGATAGAATGAAATAAATAAATAAAAATAACAATAGACACTTCTAGATAATAAGATAGAATAGATAAATAAATAAACCTTAAAAAATAGCAATAAAATCAATAAATGAGTTGAAATTAATAACCAAATGACCTTTTAAAATAAGAAAATAAAATAAATAATAATAATAAATCTGCTAAGGATCATAATTTATAAACTTTTCATATATGTTGTTTAAGTCTTTCATTATCTAGGAACTTGATAACTTTGGTAACGATTTCTTCTTGATTTCCCTGAGATGCTGATATATTCTGGGGTATTTCGAGATCTTATAACCTTGCGGTGTTAAAAGGGCATTCTTCCAAAACATGTTTTATGGTTAACTTTTGATATCTGGGGATAAGATCTTTTGTTATGAGGTGGAGATGTGTCAGTGTAGTATGTGCGATCCTCAGTATGTAGTATGTCCGATGCCATATAAGAGACCATTCATAAAATAAGGTCATTTTGCCAGCACTTAATGTAATGTTTTCTCAAATTCAATCAAATATTATTTTTCAAAAAGACATATTCATTTTAAATACTTATTTACTTTTACGAGGAATAACCATATACCATAATAACCATTATATAAAAATCCCTTATATAAAGAAATAGTTTATTAAATTTTCATTCACAACACATCATACGAGTTTTCAGGCTCGTTTGCCCACTATCAAATCAATAATATATATCTGTCCATGGCATTAACATTTACATAACTATTATTAATCCATTAAACTTTTATCAATACACCTACAATTTGTTTTACCATCTTCACAGGAATTCACCGATACAGACATAGAGGGAATTGTAAACCAGCTTCCAAGACCTTTTCTAATGCTAGGAGACTTCAATGCCCACAGCACCTTATGGGGTTCGAAGCTTCCAGATTATAATCACAGAGGTAGAAATATCACAAAATTCCTTGAAAACAACACTTCAACAGTACTTCTAAACTCAGGGGATAACACTCATTTCAGCTCAAAAAATAATAATTTCTCCGCAATAGATTTAAGTTTCTCTGATGCAAGATACTCACCTAAAGTAAAAAATTGGAGTACTAAAAGCCATTTGTACGGAAGCGACCACTTCCCAATTATAATTGAAACATGGGGAAACAGTATTATTATGCCATCGAACACCAGATGGAAATATGAAAAAGCAAATTGGGAAGGTTATAAAAAATCGATTATCCAAGGCTTACGAACCATACCATATGGACAAAATTTAGAAGAGAAAATATTTTATTTTAACGAGTTAATTATTAACACAGCAAAAGAAACTATTCCTACAGTCAAAAATAATATGAAACCTCATGATGTACCGTGGTGGAATCACAATTGCAATGAAGCTATAAGAGCAAAGAAACGAGCCCTAAATCGATATAAAAGAAGTAGAACTGTTGAAAATGCAATCGAGTTCAAGAGACTGAGATCTATTGCAAACAAAATAATCAAAGAAAGCAAGAGAGCATCGTGGAAACAATATGTTTCTTCCATAAACTACCTTACCCCGACGAATGAGATATGGAACAAGATCAAGGCCATCAGAGGAATTAGGAAGCAAAACTTAATTTCAGGACTTAATATTGACGAACAGATCATAACGGATCCACAGGACATTGCTGAAGCCTTTGGAAAATATTTCAGAGAAATATCTTCCTCAAGCTGTAGCGATGACGCGATAAATGATCATGAAATACATCAAAATTACATTTCAGGGCAGAGCCACTCTGCTGAATACAATAGACCATTTCGACTAGATGAACTAAATTCTTCGCTTAATAAGTGCTAAGGAAAATCAGCTCCTGGTCTCGATGAAATTCCAGGAGAGTTCATAAAGCAGCTACCAGAAGCAGGGAAAATATATCTTTTAAATATATATAACGAAATTTGGACAAGCAGAACATTTCCAACTAAGTGGAGGAAATCTGTCATAGTACCGATACCAAAAAAAGAAAAGAGCACCGTTCCCAAGAACTATCGACCCGTTTCCCTTATCCCGTGCGTTTCCAAAATTCAAGAAAGGATGGTCAATATAAGATTGACTAGTATGCTGGAATGTAAGAATGTCCTTTATCCATACCAATTTGGCTTTAGGCCAAATCGTTCGACTATTGATTCTCTTTTATCATTAAGCTTAGAAGCGCAGGAAGCTTTTTCACACGGAGAACACTTAATATCAATATTTCTGGACCTTGAAAAAGCTTATGACACAATGGAAAGAGGACGTGTGTTGAAGATTTTGGAGGAACTAGGAATAGGAGGAAATATGTGGTATTACATCAAAAATTTTCTAACCAATAGGGAATTTTCAGTAAGGGTAGGAAATACTTTCTCGTCAAACCATCGCTTACAAAGGGGTACCCCACAAGGATCTCCTCTTAGTTCGACCCTATTCCTTCTTGCGATTAATAGTATAGGGTCCATTATCAAGACCCCGACCAAATGTTTCCTATTTGCAGCAGGTTTCCTAAAAGCAAATCTATTCCCTATATACAGTGGAGGCTGCAAGAAGTGATGGATGGAGTAAAAGATTAGACAAGGGAAACTGGATTTAAGATATCATCTTCGAAGTCTAAATGTTTACACATTTGTAGAAGTCGAAAGTGTCAGCAGAATAATCCACAAATATTTATAGAAGGTTCCTCAATTTAATATACAGAAAGTCACAAGTATCTAGGAATGATAGTTGATAAGAGACTGAATTGGATACAACATATTACATATTTGAGGGAAGAATGCACAAAAAGACTCGGAATTCTTAAATGTCTCCCACACTCTAGCTGGGGTGCCGATAGATGCACTCTAATAAAAATATACCAGTCTATAATACGCAGCAAAATAGACTATGGAGCGCAGATATATAGTACAACCAACAAAACAATATTGAGGATGTTAGATTCTATACACAATTCAGCCCTTAGAATATGCACTAGAGCATTTCGAACTTCTCCAATCGACAGCATCTACGTTGAATCTGGAGAAACATCCTTAAACTTGAGACGAGAATACCTATCTCTGAAATACATTGCCAAATTGAAAGCATCTTCCTACCACCCATTAACTCCATATTTATTTTCAAAAGAATCAGAAAGAAACGGACTTAGAAATATAGAAAATAACATTTTTAAACAAGCAATTTACAATGCAACAACTAAAATAAACATGGATACGAACATTATAAGACCCATCCCAGAATTAAAAATGCCGCGTTGGAAAAAAGATAGACCATTTATTAATAAATCTATGACTAAAATTGCAAAGGAATATCCGCTTGAAATACAAAAATCTTTTTTAAAGCTAACGAAACAATATAAAAATTTCGATTTTATATATACGGATGCATCCAAAGAAGGAGGTAGCGTAGGATGTGCTTTAGCGAGTAAAGAGAAACAATTACTGTTTAAATTACCTGGAGAATGTTCAGTATTCACAGGAGAGGCCACTGCCATCATGAATGCTTTATATCTTATAAGCAAAACTGAAAAGAACTACTGGGTAATTGTGACGGACTCATACAGCGTTTTAACTGCCATTGACATTCCATATTCTAAAAACTCCATAATTAGGGAAATACTCAATATCTGGTGGGATCTAAAAAATAAAGGAGTAACAGTTGTCTTGGTATGGGTACCAGCTCATTGCGGAATTTTAGGAAATGAAAATGCTGACAATGCAGCACATTTAGCAAGAAGTGGAAGAGAAGAAGAGGAAGTGACTAGAATGAAATATATCACTTTAGAAGACTGGGTACACGAAATAAAGAAAAAACAACTGGCAGAGTGGGAAAAAGAGTGGAGGATCAAAGAGTGTCAGCTGAAAGAAGTGAAACCTAATTGCGATAAATGGCTCACTAGCAACAGATAGTCTAGGAAATTAAGAAATTATACTATGCCGCCTAAGGATTGGGCACTGCTAGTTCACTCATGGCTATCTTTTAAGAGGTCTAGAAGCTCCTACTTGCGAGAAATGTAACAATACACCGCAAACTGTGAAACACCTTCTAGTAGAATGTTCCCAATTCGAAAGGCTCAGAGAAAAAATAGAACTAGGAAAAACACTAAACGAAATACTAAAAGACAATGAAGAAAGAGTCTCGATCGTGTTAAATTTTTTAAAAATTGTAAACTACTATAACAGAGTATAAATCATAGAAAACGCCAATGACCCTTTAGGGTAGAGGCGAGAAAAAGGAAAAAAAAAAAAATTGTTTTTTAAAATATCATTATTAAAAAAATATAACACCTGTCATTATTTGTTACATAATTATGAAACAATCATTACCCACCTGTTTCATAATTATTTGTATCATACTTGAAAAAACTCATAATGAGAACTGGACAAAAACACATTTATTACAAATTACTCCATTCGTACTAATTGTATCCGTTTACTAAAATGATATTACGAGATTTTCATTACCTACCATAGATAGGTCAAAAGTTGTCACACTAATTTTAAGTGGTTAATATTTGGATTTCACAAAGAGAAAATTCATCAAATTATTCACTGTTCCTTTTTTTATTTTTTTGTATTTACAACTATGAACAATTTACTAATTTAATTTTCTAAGCGATTGCATAACGATTTTTTGGAATACACGAATATTAAGCTACAGTAAATGTATTTAATGTTATTAACATATGCTTTATACGTTGAAGCATATGAAATAATTCTATATTTCACTTCTTCTTTCACATAATTACTATGAAATATATTTTTAAACAATACCATTGCCTTGATTAGGAGGATTTTAAATACTTTTTTCAAACTTAAAAAAAGTCTACACTTAGTTAGTAAATTTCATTAAATTTCCGTTAAAACATGTGATTACCGTTAAATATTAGTTTTCACAAATTCATATTCATAATTTTTCGCCACTCTCCATCACTTTCTACGACTTTCTTTGTTAGATGTTTTTTCTAAAGTTCTCCGCTTTCCAACAATATATTATACGTATATCTTCCATAAGTATTTCCGGAAATTCATTTTTGATCTAAATAAACATTTTTCCTTTTTTATCCATTTTCAATTATCCAATTCTTTCAAAAGTTATATTTAGTATTTTTTCGTAATTCCTAATAATAAGAGATAGTTAATTATTTAAGATAAACCAAATTACAGATACTTTAGAGGAAGACATGTTGAACAATTAAGCATTTGAGCCCTGTAATATGACATTAATGGGAATAAGAAATCAATAATGTTAAAAATCACTTCATTATACAATGATACACCGAGTTTAATCAAAATCGTTGGAGCCGTTTTTGAAAAAATTATAAAAATTTATAACCGTTGATATAAAGTACCACTTCCGGTTAGTCGATTTTAAACGAAGACGAAAAAGTTGCAGTCACATCCAAGGCATATACCTATCTTAAATACTTAATATCAATCAGTTTCGTACGACTTTTCGTTTTTAAGCTAGTCTTACCACATACACACACACACCATTTTGCGGGACTTCGTTATTTAGACTCAGGAGACCTGAAAACATATATTTCCGTTGAAAACTCAGATTCGAAAATTGCAATTCGAAAACTCACGATTGCTATACTTTCTCTTACTATATATTACATGTGTATGTAAGAGAAATTAAAAGTTGGAAATAGGTTATATAAATTAAAATATAAATAATAGTTTGTTCGAAAACGCTAATCTCCGAAAGTTCTTCACCGATTGCTTTAAAATGTTGATACAATTTCGCAAACAAATTCAGTAATGTGTTTGTATACATTTCATTACTATATGGCCTTCCGTTTTAAAATGACCTTTATCACTACAGACTGTAGTGCCAAAACAACTTTAATAAAACTTAGCTAACTTTAAAATTCCTTTTAATTTTTGTATACAAAATGCTTCCCCGAAAAGAGGATGAAAAAAAATTTACGATGGATTCGGAAATTTATTTGCAAATAAATCAAAAACTACTAAACTTATAAACGATAATAGCCATTTTTAGTTCTTTGGCCAGAAAAAAGAAGATAATACCCATATTTATTTGAAAGCTTTCTGAATTCCCTACAAAATATAAAAATATTTCATCGAAATTGATAAGTATTATCTCCGAAATTATACAATTAGTAGCGGCTGTAGGAGTAAAGTAGGTTAAATATTTTTTTTAAGAGAATCAAAGTTGAGAATTGTATTTTCCACATCGATAAACACTCAAATACCAATTTTCACAGGAATCAGAAAAGAAAATTTGTTTGCCTCATATTTTCATCAAGGTAAGCCTTTGATTTGATTTTATTTCGAAAATTTAATCATGACTCCACCAATATACACGAAAATAAGCAGATACTTAGGGGCACTTAAACTGCACAAAATGAAACAAACTGCAGGCCTGTAAGCATATTAGAACTGGAAGTGAAAATTAAAAACGCATTAGGAGCTTACTTATATCAGTAGGTATTAAATTTTCCTGACTGGGTAAGTGTTCCTTTCCTCCCCCTTCCAGCCAGCCAAGCACCATATTTTATAATGATATAAATTTGCCACATTCGACTTCAATTTTTTCGTGTAGATATTCAAGTAATCTTTTTATGTCATTATTTCAATCAGAAATAAATAATTCACATGAAGATGTATTCTTAGTTACTTCAGTAAGGGACAAAGCTTTCAATAATAGGAAAAAAACTAATTATTTCGATATTTAATTCTTAGGAAGAAGTGAAGGAGGACAACAGCTGGCAAACATTTCTCTTCCTTAAATTCTTAATGTGGTGTAGCTTATATATTCATGCAAGTTAAATATTTATAAATTATAAACATATGTACTCACATAAGTGATCTGACATACCCTCATCCCCCACCAACATAAAGTGGCATTTCTATCCAAATGACATAACGAGTGTAAATATGTTTGTAGAACCCACTTCTTTTAACATATAACTTGTTTCTATTCTTTATGCTAGTTTCATCATTTCATATAACTATTTGATATATAATTTAAAAGGCTGAATTTGTAAAAAGTGTGCTATTTATTAAATGAATAAATGAGATTTCATATGATTACTATTTTTGCTAGTGCTTTCTTTTATTTATTACTTGTTTTACAGATATGGCCGCTATAACACAGTTAAACAACTTTTGGATTCTGAGAAAGGGTCCTTTATTATCAATGAAACAGATGGGGAAGGCCTAACTCCTCTCCACATTGCTTCTCAACAGGGTAATATAAATAATCCAAGTTAAAACATTTCATTCAGTAGCATTACATAAGCAGAAAAATATAAATTTGTTTTTTAACCTTTTTGTGTTTCTTGGTCGAAAAATCAAATTGTACTTAGTCAAAAATTGTTTAATTTAATTCATCATTATTTTTTAACAATCTTTTATTTTACTGTTTAAAAATAAAACTTTTATGCAAACAAATTGTTAAAAAATTGTGTCTTCATTTACAGCATTTTCAGCGAATGTTGTCCCAATGATGTGGATATATAATCAATGAATTGTTCAAATTATGTAAAAAATAATGAATAACAATATTTAGCTATAAATTAATAATTATTTAATTTCATGACTTCAAATTAAAAGTTAAAGTAAACATTTTTAAATTATTTGGCTTAATGCATTCCAGGATAATATGGTGACAGACCAATAATGAGAAAAAGTTCCTTACTTAATGGGAAGAATGGTTTGTTGGAAAAAAAAAATTGTGAGAATCGTTCCTTGTCTAAACAAAATAGTTTCATCTCTTTCTATCATCAAGTTGTCTCCATTTGTTACTTTTTCTGTTTTAAATTTCCTCTATTTGTTATATCAAAATTGGAATAAAACATCGAAAACAGATACTTTCTGATATATAGTACACTGTGTAACACCCTTTTCAAAACTCCATGACAAAGGCTATCGGCTACTAACTGATTATTTTATTTTCCAAAGTATAACATATGTCTTGATTACTATACTTTACCACTAAGACTATTTTGATTTATTACAATAGCTAATTTCCTGGTAGAGCCCAAAATCTTGAGTGTCACATAGTCGGAAGACTGTCATACAGATGCACAAATGAATTAAGCAGTTAGCGGATACTAAGAGGTGACATAGGGCTCCATAGAGACCTGAAATGTCAAGTCAAAATATCTTAACTTAGAGGTTTCAGAAATGACAGCAAATGTTTTTAAAAAACTACATAAAATGATCAAAGAATTTTAATATAAAATGTTAAATATATGGCATTTATGCAGTCATTAACCGTCTGCGGTTCCTTGATTTTTTCCCTGTCTCTTTTATTTATTTTAAAATATTTACCACTTAGTTCTTCCACTTGTCTTGATCCACTCTTGAATAGGTGAGAAAATCATTCCAATGCCAAAATCAAGGTTGAGAAACTCTAAACAAATCTCCATTCATTTGAGATTTCTCTAAAACATGAATTTTCCATTAGCAAATTATTTTTATTTTATAGTTAAAATAATGTTTTTCTACTTTCATGAGACATTTTGTTTGCATTTACCGCGATTTGGACAACCATTTTTTTCTTTGCCACAATAAAATCCACTGTGTATGATCAATTGTTTGATTCAAACTATTCTTTCATTTAATATCTCAAAATTTTTATTTTTATCAATTCTGAGAAACTTCTAAATTTGCAGGTCATACAAGGGTAGTTTCTTTACTGCTTAATAGAGGTGCTCTTCTTCACCGTGATCACAATGGTAGAAATCCACTTCATTTAGCTGCAATGAGCGGATATACACAAACCATGGAGCTTTTACATTCAGTTCATTCCCATTTATTGGACCAAGTAGATAAAGATGGAGTAAGTATTCAGATATTTTTTTCAAAATGTCCAACCAACAATATCTTAGTATGTTAAACCAACAATATCTTGCTCAACATTATCTTCCTCCTTCAAAGAGAGATTTGATTTTTTTTAAACCATACCAAAAAAAAACACTGAAGGAGAAGATATTCTTTAAAGTAATAGCTCAGTCATTGGATTTGATGAAAAATTATCTAAGATACACGACGACAATTCCTTCTTGGTGTTTTCCTTTTCCATGTCCTCAGAACCAAAAATACTCCCTTCATCCTAGAACTCCTTACTCTGCATTCCTCTATCCCCTCTCTTAATACCAGATTTCAACTTATTGATCTATTTAACTCCTCCCATAAAACTATTTCCTTCAGTAAATCCTTGGTCATTCTTGCTACCTCATTTTGGAACTCTTTACTACAATATACAACTTTACTCCATAGCCTAACCCTTGTCCAACAATTTCCTTCAAACAATTCCTATTCCACCACCTACTTAATATTAACCTACTTCATAATTTTGTTTTGATATTTAATCATTATATAAATAGGCAAAGGTAAAACAGTATCTTTTTCTCCTCATATTCTCAGCCAATTTTCTCTTTGTCTCTTTTATTTAGTAGCTATTGACTAATTTTAGTGTTATCAATAAAAATATTTTGGAGACAGAGTATATAAATAAAAGTATAAATATTAGTTTGTTCGAAACCGCTAATATTCCTAAGTTCTTCACTGATTGTTTTGAAACTTTTATACAATATTGAAATCAAATTGAGGAATGTTTTTATTTACATTCCATTATCATCTGGAATTTCATTTTCAATGGCAGCCGAAAAATCCATTTCACTAGTAGCTGTATGTCGTAGCGGCGAAATGGCTGTAAAAAGTTTAATGAAAGTTGGCTAGTCTTCTTGAAGCCCTTTTAATTTGTGTATATAACATACTTCCCCCAAAAGGAGTTGATCAATAAGTTTGATAAGTTACAAAGGATTTAGAATCTTATTAGTGAATAACTCAAAAGGAATTGAACTGTTTTATATTGTAAGTACACACAAAAGTGTATGTTCTCTGATATACAATAAATCTGAAATTAGAAAAAAAACTGCTAATCTTCAAAAATTCTTTACTGATTGCTTTGAAATTTTAGTTAATTAGAATCAAATTCAGGAAATTTTTATATGCACTTCATTGTATAAGTAAATATAAAAGTGTCTGTTTTCAGATATACGATGAGTGAATATAGAAGAGTAGAAAACGAATTTGGAAACAGGCAAATTCATATATGTTTTTCTCAAATTTTCAATAATGGTTATGGTCAAATTTCGACCGCTGTGTGAACACTAGTAATAATCATTAGTTTTGATCAGTGAACCTTTTGACCAATGTTTCTTCAGTCACCTGTATAGGCAAAGAAACCTTTTAGATTTTTTGCATTATAGTATTTGTATAGCCTATCATATAGTTCAGCTTCCAGTCTTATCATTCAACAAGTGATTTTCCATGCTTTGTTGGTTGTTATAACTATTATTATGTTTCAATAATTACATTTATATCGATGCTTAAATCTTTTTTTTTTTTTGTTCTATTATTTCAGAACACAGCTCTTCATCTTGCGACCATGGAAAACAAACCTAATTCGATTGCTTTACTGTTATCCATGAATTGTAAGCTATTGTATAATACCATCGACCTCAGCGCTATTGATTATGCCATATATTACAAATTTCCTGAAGCTGCACTTGCGATGGTCACACATGATACCAGGTAATCATTTTATTTATTGCAGGCCTGTATATCAATTTTTTTTTTTTTCCTCTTTTTTTTAGTTCTTTTTCTTACAAAGTTTTCACCATTAAAAAAATACTCTCCTCCAAAATTAAATCCTGAATCTGCTGCTGATAGTATAGATGAGTTTTTATTAAAGAACACAAAGGAGTTGCCTACTAACAACCCTTCTCATTTAGAGTACGTTACTTAAACCCAATTAAATACTACGCTAATTAATCCTTTTTTAAAAAACTATTTTATGATTTTTTTTAGTTCAAACTTGTGTTTGCACACATTATAGTGCAAGAATACAATGAGTGCAACTCAAAAAATTATTATCATTAGAATAAACACCATGCATAGAACAAGTTCTACATTAAAATCCCACAACACTTGTTGATTGATAGACCATCTGATGGTATGGCCTGATGTTTGAGGATTAACTGTGTTTTGGAGAAGATAGTGATCCACTTATTAAATATTTTTATTTGTGCATCATGTATTCTTACTGTGCTATATTTTAGTTTATTCCAATCCTCATTCAAACTTACTGATGGTGATATTAAGAATTCAAATGTTAATTTTTTGTAATTTTCAGAGGACAAGAAGTAATGAGTTTAAGATCTGACAAACATCCTTGTGTCACTTTGGCCCTCATTGCAGCCATGCCCCGTGTGTTCGAATCGGTTCAAGACAAATGCATCACAAAAGCCAACTGTAAAAAAGATTCAAAATCATTTTATGTAAGTTTCAGTTTTTATATCTGTTTTTGATAGTTAATTTAATAAAAAATTTATTGTAAAGTCAAAAACTTAAGGAAGAACCTTGCGGGAGGAGGAGAAACATTCACCTCTTCCGACAGTTGCCTTGTCAGATAGTTAATATGTATTTTTTTTTTTAACATTATGACTTGTTATATGACTGTATACACTATTTTATAAATTGACAGTTATTTCATTTTTAGAGAAAAACTGAAAATTGCCCATTTTATTATGTCATTTCATTGTTCACAAAACATCATGAACAATTGTATTTGTATATATATATATCAGAAATTTTTCAAGTGAAAAACGTATGAATGGCCGCATGTTCCCCACCTATGGTATACACTACCCATTTCTTTAGGAAATATATAATACTATAATACTTCAAAATTCATCATTATTCATCGGTAATTTATATATCAGAAATTTTTCTAGTGAATGGAATTTTCTAGAGAGAAACAAATTAATGCTGAAAATAGCTTTTATTTATTTATTGTTTATATTACAAACAATGAACATGTGACCTTTGAAGTATAATTTGTAGGCTATAGCAAGTACTTTTCCTCTCAAACTAATGCTCATGCAGTAACAAGGTTCTTTCTCAAGTTTTTTGAACAATAAATGAATTTTAATCATTCCATGGTTATTATGTAAACTTGATATAAATAGTTTGCACAATCTTTAAATATTTTCAAATTTTTCAAGTAGTTTTCAAATATTAAAAATTATTTTCAAGATCTTATCTAAAATAAAAATAAAAGATGAATGGTACAGATGAACTGCAGGATTAATAAAGACAAAATAAGTAAGCCTATTTCTTTGAAATCAATGCTTGGAATTCTTACATGTAAACAAACATTTTATGCCTCAGTTTTTTCTAATTATTTCTACTGAATGTCTTTCTCATGTTTAAACATCATTTGTATGTCAACATACTATATGCCAGTATGTTTTCCATTTATACCATGTTTCAACTTACTCCCTTCTTTTTCCAATGGTTTTGAGAATTTTGAAATGAAACTAGGTTTTAGCTTTTGCAGATGAAGCTTCTTTTCGTTAAGAAGTTGACTTTATAAACTCTTCTCCGAATTCCTTTAATTTGTAATTTCCAATGAAAAGAATTAAAAAGATGAAGAAAATCTAAACCCTACAAAACAAAAAAAGGGGGAAATGGGGCGAGCAGGAAGTATGAAATATACTGTATATGGCAATGCTCTCTGATTGTTCCATACTATCTGAAACAACAAAATAATCTTATTTTGGCTTTGATGTTTCTAGAGACTAATGGTCTATTTCGAAAACAAAAAAAAAAAAAATTTTCTTTCTTGAACTTAGTTCTGAATGGACAAGAAAAATAAATACTGCTTCATAAACAAATTATACTAGTTTGATAAAAAAAAATACTCATGTTTTAGTTAATGCACCAAGAGACTTTAAGAAGTACTTCGGGAAGGAAGCCTTAGCAAAGCCTATGAGGCAAATCGCTACTATTAGTATCAGAGCAAAAGGTCATATGTGAAATTGACTTTTTTTACAAGGGAGCATACAAAATTATTATTTCTCTATGATTTATTAGTATATTTTCATATTTTATTCCCCTCTGCTATTTTCCATATTAGCATAGCAGCTGCAGGTTAAAAAAATATCACCGTTAGCAATAATAGAATAAGCATGAAAAATTGTCATACATTTTGCACTAACAGTGGCGATATGTACCTTTTATATTTAATAATTTTCAATAGAATTTTCCAGTGATCCTGTTTCATTTTGTCTTTTTGTATGGCAATGTTTTGAAAGTCTGCATTAATATCTCTGCTATTCATCTTTTTATGCATAAAATAAGGTGGTAATTGGTTGCCTGAGGTCAAAATTCAAAGAATCATTTAAATGATCCTTTGAGTTCTATCAGACTATATTTTTTTTTTCTTTTTGTGTTGCATTTTAAGAAATAAAAATTAAATTAAGAAACAACTTTCGAGTTTGATGAATGGGGCAACTTTATTTATTTTTCTTTATTTGATAATTATGTATTTGTTATTTGTTTTTGTTTTTTTGTGAACATCTCAACTGAAATGCTTTGAGCTGCTTGTAAATTTTTTTAATGTGTTTTTGGGCTGTTAATTGTTCAAATTATTGGCAGTCCAAAAATATATTAAGTGAAACCAGCAATGTAAAGTTTCAATCTTTTGAATTGAGATTTTGACAAAAAAACAAAACAAAAATATTTTTGAGTTGTCCCGTGGAATAATTAGAATTAATTTTAATCATGCTTAAATTTTAGTGACTATGACCATTTGTAAATAAATATGTAAAATAATTAATTGCATGTCATATAGGAATGTTTTATGAAATTTTATTTACATCTGTTCAACATGCTTTTCAAAATTTATATTGGGATTCAGAGCTTTATTCTCATATTTTTCTATTTCATTAGAAAAAAATTATTCAATTTGTGTTAAATGTATTTAAATGAAATAACTAAGCTACTTGAACTATCTAAGCTTTAGGCATGTAAATATTATAAAAAGTTGGTATATTTCCAGGGATTGATGTTATTTTATTCCATTGAAATTGAATTTGTTTAGATATAAAAACTAATACATGCCATTGATTTTTATATTTGAATATAGCATTATTTTTTAATCTGTAAATAACAGGCTATTTTTTTAATAACACACTACAGCTAATACAATGGATACTGCATGAATTCGCTTTTAATCCAGTTGATGAAAATAACAGCCAACTTTCATAAATAAATTTTTGTCTATTCACTCTATGTATTAAATCCACTGTTGTACATACTTATTTCTTTCAAAAAAATGTCTTGATTGATTATTTTGTCTCATTATTTTTTTTATATTTTCTTTTTTTGTGATTTTGTTGCTGCTTTATTTTTATTGAAAAAATAAAACAGTACCCATTTAATCAATAGTTATGAAATTGATTCAGTAATTGATAAGCTATGAGTTTGTTTGATTATACAAAAATAAAAAGGACAAAGAAAAAGACCTCAAACAAAGAGTAACAATATAACATTCATTAGGAAAAAGAATTTCATTTGTTGCTTATAAACTGAAGTATTAGTTTGGGTAGCACTGTTCAATATATCTCTTGAAAATTGGTTTTTCTAAGTTGTTGAGAAATGAGTGCATATGCAAAGGGATCCTACTATAATTAATTTCTGAATGTTCTTGTCGAATTAAGAAGTTTACATATACACCCAATGTTAATTAGTTGACAATACTTGATGAAGCTGTTTGGTAGAGGTGGAGTGGCCGAAAACAACCTGATAATAGATGATAAAATAATTACGAGTTCGCCTCCCGGTACCAGAGAAGGGGCTTTTACCTCTGGCTTTAATCCCTCACCCTCATCCTCTGAAAAAAAATGGCCTGGAAAACCCCATAGAGCCTAAAAGGCAAGAAAGGGGATAAAAAAGAAGGATGAAGTGTTTGTATGTTTATTTAGGAGTTAACATCCTTATATTCTCCAAATAGGGCAGGGAGGATAAGTAGTCTTACAGGATACTAACACGTCTTAGACAGAAGTAGGAGGTTAAGAATTTTCTGTAAGTCTGGTACAAAATTAATTTCTACCCTTTTATACCAGATTCGAACCACTCCCCTTTCAGACTTCAGAATGCTAAAGTCAAGAATCCCCTTTCAGGCTTAGGTGTTACCTTAACATACTACATCAAACCATGCTCTCCACAGCAATAGGGTCAGTCAGATTGTTGAATTAAGATTCTTCAAAAAAAAATTGTAATAAATACATAAAATCCTTATAATGTATTATATTTAATTAAATATTATAAACATAAGAATTGAATAAGTATTAGTATTGAACTGATTAGTGAAGGCCATGCAGAAACATAAGTAGACATGCTACCTCTGTGGCCGTATGTTCCCCACCTATGATATACACTACCCATTTCTTTAGAAAATATATAATACTATAATACTTCAAAGTTCATCATTATATTAGTATATAGGTCTTGTACCTTGATACTGGTCTATAGAACAAAACATTGGATTTAAAATTAAATGAAAGTTAAAAGAATAACATTAACTTGAAGTTTTATTTCTATCATCTAGTTTTTAAAAATGTCATTGATTTGGCTCGATCCAGATATCTATCGTTTCATGGTAAATTCGAGACCTATCTGAACACATAACAAAACAAATTTGAAAAGTTGGTTTTAAAAATTAACTTTGGGTCCACACCAAACCGTTACAGCAATGAATAGGTTTTCTTAACTGTAATTTTCAAGTACTATCCAAGGAAATTATTAAGTATAGAATAAACATTTTGATAAATTCATTGGTAATGATTTGTTAGACATAATGAGATACTTTGCTGATACTGACTTACAAACCGAAATGTTGGGACTGAAGGAAACAGTTTTATAACTTAGGAAATACCAAGTGTTAAACAAACAAAATGATTATGACATAAATTGACCAAATTATAATTATTGTATAGTTACTTATTCTCACAATTACTAATTATTGTATCTAAAATTTATGAGCTTAAGAAATTTAACTTCCAAATAAAGATCATGTATATAGCTGCTTGTGTCAAAATTGTCCTCAGATAAAGTACAGCTTCTCATGCCTTCTATGCCCGAAGTGTCTACCATGTAATATTGACTCCAAAGTCAGTGAATCTTTTAATCAGCAGGCCACAATGCCACTTCCAGCATTAAATGTAAGTTTATCCCTATGCACTACATCTGCAAGCATGGAAATGTTTGTGTATCTCAGATCTGAAGCTTGAAGGGTCCAATTCAAAGAAGTTGTTTGAGTTATGAATTTCTATAACTGAATCATAAAAGGAGTGATTAAGAAAGAAAAATATTTCATGAATATTCGAAAAGTATTCTGATTACTCAAGACACGAACAGATACTTTCAGAGTAGAAGCTTTTACTTCTAGGTACAACTTTTACTTCTTTTTCAACCCACTTAATTTTAAAATACTTTTTTTTTCTCTTCTGAAGCCAAATACAGTTTACATTACCTATAACAATTTACACTTTTATCTAATTAGAACTAACTTTAAGAATGAGCTGACTAATTTAAATTTGACTCCAAGATCATTAAAATCTCAATTCATCTCTCAATTAATAATAATCCACTGTAGATTTCTCTAATTCAAACATTTATTAATATTTCACAAACATCTTATTAATATTTCACTAATGAACATTGATAATAATATAGTTAATATTAATAATTTTACATTATTGTAATTGTTTAATTTTTTTTGTGATTAATATTATAACTGTTCTATAAATTGCACCAAGTAACCATATTAATATAGTAGGAAACTATATTATTAATCATTCCATGCAGATTTGAGATTCATTGTAAATATATGCTTTTTGTCTGAAAAAAATGCTTGTAAATATTTGCGATTTTTGCATGGCTTTGATTTGCTTGTAATTTTGCTTTGGAACAAACATCTCCTGATGTATTACATCTCCAAGATTGACATCAAGACTTTTGGGACAAATCTACCTGATAACATGCTTGACTTTCGTTATGGCAGTGATTGTTTTAACCTTATACCCATTTACCAATGTTTGTCATCACCTTAAGACCACAAAATAAGTTTCTCTCACTCCTAGATAAAATACAGTTTCCAAAACTACCAACGTTCTGCTAAGGAAAATGCTGTCATAAGGAAATTTCAACCCTCTTGGAAACCTCAGCCACTCATGGTAGTAAATGTAAGTTATCTGATTTGAGTGTGAATGTTGAGTTATATTTATGTAAATGTTTGAATTTTTAATAGTTACGTATGCTTGTAGACAATTTTTATCCTTGATAAAAAATAAATATACTTTAAAAAAAAGCCAATGATGTAGTTTATTTGATTTTTTTTAGACCTATGTAAAAACAAAGAAAGTTATTTAAATATAATTCCATTAGTTTGAAGTATGATTTAAGCTACTCTATCTTTTTCTTTTAATTAATATTCTGATTGTTTTTAAAATCTTCATATATCATATTATGTTCATTTTTTTTTATTCTGCATTGTTTTGTTTCTATTTAAATGTCATTAAACAGAATGATGTTATTACCTGGATTAATATCAAGCCTGGACATTTTTCATCTTTATTTTAAGAAATGAATATCTTATCCACTAAGTTTACTCCTCAAAATATTGCCCATAATTTACATCGCTTGAGTCGTAAATTTGAATCACCTCTGACACCAAGAGCTTTGAACTCTGAAAATCCTAAAGATCTCCTTGTCAAGTCTTTCAAATTAATTTTTATTTTTAAACTGTGGACCATGAACTGAAACAAGTGATAATCATAATGTATCAAGTATGGGCTATAAACTTGGTAAGGGACAAGACCAAAATCTCAGTTATTCAATCTCTCATGATATTTGACATTATACATGGGACTTATTTTTGTAAGATTACTTTTTTTTTTAATTAACTAAAGCTAGTATATTTTTTAGTCAAAACAGAATGAGAAGTGTAAAACACGGATGTAATCATATCACCATCAGGGACTACCTAAAAGTGAATTTTGCATTAGTAGTGTCTGTAGATGCATAGCTTTATTTTTTCTCAAATCTCTCTCTTAAGTGTTATGTTAATGTATTAGAATGATTTCTAACATAAAATCTATATCATTTTAAGATTTTATATATACATAAAATAAAATTTACTTTAAAAAGTTAAATAAACATCTTATACATAGGCATACTTATACACACTTATTAGGAATCTAAATAAAATGACTTTGGAACCAATTCCTGTCTTCTTTTATAATTTCCCTCAAGGTTGACCAATCTCTGAGATGGGGCAATCAAGATATTTTGGCCATGTTTTTTAGGTCGGCATTGGTCACACTTGTTTTCAGTTTGAACCTTAATTCCCATCAACATTTAAATTATATTTTAATCCTTTCAATTCTATTTTTAAAAATATTTCAAAACTTCTTTCTTGGCTTTACCTAATGAATGTATTCTGATTGTTTATCATAGTTTTGGTCTAAAAAAATTTCAAATGGTGCATTTGTAATCTGTTTAGTTTAAATAATTTGTAATTTTAAGAAATAAAATAAAGAATCAATTACAGATACAGTGAATATACTCAGTGAATCTTCTTTTCTTTGATATTTGGAGTCACTTGATTGTTTTGCATTATGCGTTAATTATTTGGAATTAGTACAGAATATTTTATTATTGCAGACAATTTTATTTATGCATGATTTTATTTTTAAAATCTTTGTAATTTATTTTTAAGGTGTTTAATTTAAAATAAATTATTTGTCAGAAATAGTGAAAATTATTTCATGAATTTTTATCATTATTAGAAAAATTCACCTATTCTATTACATATTATAAAATTTACTTTCTTGGAAATCAAACTAAAATAGAAAAATAAGTGTTAAAATTAGTAGATTAGACTTATTTTTTGTTTTAATTCTGATCGTAATAAAAAGTCTTTGGATGTTATTTTGATTATTTGATACTTTTTGATATTTTATGTAATTTCCAATAACAATTTTAATATATTTATTTAGATTTGAATTTAGCTAAGGATAAAAAATAAATGACAGTTATAAGGTTTCTGAAATTCTATTTACATTGAGAATTAAAAAGTATCATTGATTTATACTTGTTTAGGCAACTTTTCTAATTAAGGCAAATAACTTTCTTGAGTTTCAATAAGGCAGCATTCAAAATTATGGGCAACATTCTACTTTTATGCAGTGGACTGTATCTTAAAGGATTGGTAGGTTATACAGATTGTGCAAAAAATATCTTACTGTCTTTATAACAGCTTACATCGTTTGGTTACCTTGAGGGCCCTCAGGTGCCGTTGTTGTAAGCAGGGTGGCTGCCAATGGAGAAGTGACTCCGAGAAAACCAGCAGTTCTTGAGGATTAAGTTTTATCTTTTAGGTCCTCTGATCTGTCCCCAGCACTCACCGTAACGGGGGAAATTCAAACCATTTTTGACACAAACAATACTATATATTACAGTCCTGTAATAGAACCAACATCCTAAAACCCTGGTTGTTAACTAAATAAATGTTTTAAATATAGCTTACTAGTAAGCCTTATTGTCATATCACCATTTACTAGACAAAAATTGTATACTTTCATACCACATTTTGTAGTTCATATTATTTAAAAACTTGAAGAAAAAAAAATGTAAAACTAAAATCATTTAAGAGTTAAATTTCAATCCAAAATTTTATGAATTATAACAGGAGCTCCTTGGTACATAAATAACAAAACTTTACATAACGACTTACGACAACCAACTATCGACCAACACATATGCAATCTCTACTCCAGATTTCATCTTAAACTACACGAACATCACAATGGACTTATTAAAGACATGGCCACAGCTGACATGCATATCAGGAGACGACTAAAGAGGAGCTGGATGAGAGATCTCCTTTCTTGAATCAAGGAAATAAATCAAGACCAGAAAAAAGTGGTGCTGGGTACTATTTTTTTCCTCATGCCTAAAATGTCTATTTTTTGGATCAGTTACAGCACATCTGCTTATTGTCAAGCTCATGGCAGGTGCGGATCGAAATATGAAGACAAAAACAAAAAAAAAAAAAAAAAAAAAAAAAAAAAAAGAATTTAATAGTAACTTTAATTTCTGTACATTCTATATTTATAAAGTCACCAAATCATAAATTAAATTTATAAATCAAGACTTTTCATTACAAGTATGACTAAAATTATAGGTAATATTTGTTAATAAAAAAATGGTAGAAAAGGTGAGTTTGACTGCTGAAGAAAACAAAATCAATAATTATCTTAAGTTATTTGTTTGCCATATATTATTGAATATAATATCTAATTTTTGTGTTACTTGAGGCAATGGTTCAACATGGAAGAGTGGAATTACTTGCACATCCTCTCTCTCAAAAATATCTTCAAATGAAGTGGAATTCGTATGGCAAATACTTTCATATGTTCCACCTCCTCTTTTATCTTATTTTTCTTGTATTTGTGACCATGTATTCCTCACATATATTAAGCGTAGCACACTGCTTTCCTGAAAACACTACAAAAAATGAAAACACTGTAAGTATATCCAAGTTACCATTTTGTTCTTAATTTATAATTTCAAATAATAATGAGCATTTATTATTTTTTATATTCTTTTTTTAAACCTTGCTTACTTTACTTTTCAGACAGTTTTATTGATGACTGATCTGAAATGCATTGAAAAGAAAGCATCAAACTTGGAATACTTTTCTTCATCTGCTATACTTTTATATGTGGCTGTAAATGCACTTCGAGAGGTTCACCAGTTACTTCAGCAGAGATGGCAGTACCTGATGGATCCAACAAATTTAGCATCTTGGCTGTTGTATCTCTCTGCAACACTGATGGTGTTACCATTATCAACTGAGCAGATACAAGTACCCTGTGCTGCAATTACTGTATTTCTTTCTTGGTTTACTCTTTTATTAAATTTGCAAAGGTATAAACATTTTTATTTAACAAACAATTTTTATTCTATTGGAAGCCTTTTAATGATTTAAAAATGTTCAAGTTTTTAATAAATATCTTTTGTCAATACATTCATAAACTGATTCCACTTTTTTTACTGAGTGTTTTTACTGAGGTATGATATGTGATCAGTGTTTCAAGAAACACCAGTGGTGGCTCTTTCTATGATAAATTGTACCTTCTCTTGAAATATAAAATATATATAACTGCTATGAAAAACTGCTGTTACAATAAAGTAGTTACATAATGCATAATGCAACATAATGCATGACTAAGAAAATGTCATGCATTATGTTTTTAAGTAAATGAGGAACAGTCATTCACTTATATATGCAGACTCAAAACTTTCCTTGTGAAATTGCTTGTTTTCATCTTGTAACACTCACCTTCCAAGGACCCATTATATTTTCCTAAATAATAGGGTAGATAAGGGTTGAACTACTGGACTCTTATCTCCTGGGTGTGGATTAGAGTCTGTATCAGCTGCAGATAGACTCTGGACTCAATCAAGGGACCAAGATAAACTTAACAGTTGAGGATGCTGGACTCGCCCATCTCCTTGTTTAATTTTTTGCTGAGCGAGAGAGCTTTATTCTTTGAATCATGACCCCTATAATCTAATTTTAATTATAATAAAAAAAAATCATTTCTATTCCATTCTCAGAATCTTGTAGATGCTTATCTTTGTTAATCACAAGATCACTTTACTTTTTAAATGTCTATAAAGGCAAAACCAGCATTTTTTGGCAAACAAAACTCATTTCTGAATTTTTTATTTTGCTTTGTTATCAGAGTTCAGCTGGGAGTCTAGATTTCCAACCCTTTAAAAGATATTATTTCCAATTTCCAATTTCGTGAAAGCTCTTGGATAGCACCGTGAGGTCCAGGTATCTATATACAGCAGCATGCTGATTTTTCCACCACAATCCCCATTCCATCTGCAGCTTTTTGAAACTCAAGAAATCCTTTGTTCATAACAGTAAATCTTCTTCTAATGATACCCACATCATCTGCATAAGTTAGGATTATTGTTGATTTCTGACTGGATTCCTGATTTTCTAGGTGTTCCCTGGTTTCTCCAAAATCTTCTACAACGAGAAAATTTGGTCTGTTGTTGATCTCCCTTATTAAGTATGCCTTGAGAATACTTTCCAAAAACAAGATTATAGAGAGCTGTAATTTTGACACTCAAGTGCCTTTCTTATATTTAAATCTATTTCATGGACCAATAAATTCATTTAGGATAGAAAAGTTCTCACTGGCTCAGATTGGACGAATGCAATGAAATTAAATGTTAGTTATGCTCCTCTCAACAGAGTATCAAGGGCCGGAAGTCGGGCTGACAGAGATGTTGGATCCCTCTGTTACAAATGTGGCTGAGAGTCAGAAAACCCAGCTCATGTGTTGGGCAATTGTCCGCATAACATGCTACTTCTCACTCACTGGCACAATAATGTAAGGCATCGTATAGCCGAATTTCTAGGAATAAAAAACTATAAATGTTTCCTCGAAGTTAATTACCTGGATACAGAAGGCTCAACAAGGTTCATTGACATTTTAGTGTTCAATGCCACAGAAAATGAGGCACTAATAGTGGTGGATCCCACGATCAGATTTATAACACCAATGATCAGAATCAGGACGTCAAGATACAGACCAAGAATGAACAAATTTATGCGAAATGCATACCTTATTTGAATGAAAAATATAGAGATGCATTCGGCGAGAAACAATTCTCAGTTAAAATACTGTGGTTCGGAAGCTGGTGAAGTATCCCCCTTAATACAAGTAATTTCTTGCTGAGGCTCATCATGGGAAGGGAATGGAAACTATTATTTTAAACTCATTAGGGATCCTCTAAAAGATTCTTATTGAATATCTTATACATAATTATAATGTCTGAGTAGCTATTTTTGGATATTTTTAATTTTATGGTTTATCTTTTCTAGGTTTGATCTTGTAGGAATATATGTTGTGATGTTTCTTGAAATCCTACAGACTTTGATCAAGGTGCTCATAGTATTCTCTATTTTGATCATTGCATTTGGTTTAGCATTCTTCATCTTATTGTCAAGGGTATGATATTTTGTTTTTGCATTTCAATAATTTATACTATAATTGTAATACACATTATTTTTTTTTATTTATCTTTCATGATTCATACAAGCATCCCAATACAAGCATCATACAAGTTATTGCTTATTAAAGTTATGTTCTTATGTAATTAGATACAATTCTGTAACATTTAAGAGATTAATGACGCTATAATTTTAGAATTGTCTTTAAATAGGGGCTAGTTATCACTATATAGTAGTGAAAGACTTCATGGTGCAAATATTAACAAAAACATTCGCAGTCATTAAGAAGAAACATTTCTACCGAGAATATTTTGAAAATGTATTAACTTAAACCTAGATAAAATTATTATCTATTTTATAGATGCCTACATAAAAAAAAATTGGAATTTTAAACGTAGTAATCATTCTTTTCTAATCCAAACAAATTGGTTATTGTAAACCGATTAACAATTCTAAATTGAAAGCTTTTGCCAGTCAAAAAGATACTCATTCAAAGATGGCTTGTTTTCTCTTATAATATAATCGGTGTTCAGTTTTTGTGACAATGACTGTTATATGACTTTCCATTAGTACCATATTAATATATCTCAATGTTTTGGTATAAATCACAGATGAGCAATTGCGGCCTCGGAGGCTGCATGTGGTCTCTGTAAACTAGCTACAGCCTCCAAAAGTTATTGTGTGATATTTATTGATCTAGCACTATAAGTAATTAATATTTAATTATTTAAGTTACAAAAAATTGAAAATTAATAAAATTAAATTGAATATGTGTACATTGACAAATAAAAAAGAAACAGTAAAATATTGTTACAGACTCCATTAGCACTGCCTTAACCTTACTTTAGTCCCCAATAATAAAAAGAGATCCCACCCTTGGTATAAATTATTATAATTCTTCTTGGTCATTTCAGAAATATAATTTTTGCTGAATAAAACTTAAAGCTGATATTACTTGCTGTTCATATACATTTATGAATTTTTTTCATGCATCATGATTAAAAAACGTCATATAAAACAATATACTAATTTATATAAAATCAAATGTTATTTTAATTGCTTTATTTTATTTCATTGTTATAAGCCTGACAATTAATATCTATTTATGTTGTACATAAATTTTAAATAATTCATCTTAAGAATAAATCATTAATCCTGTATTTATTTTCTACAGGGTAAACACGTTTCATTCAGCACCATTCCAATGTCTTTGATGAGAACATTTTCAATGATGCTTGGTGAAATAGATTTCCTTGGAACTTACGTTCATCCTCTTGATGATGAAAACGAGGATGGTCCAACTTTGCCCTTTCCCTTTACAGCATTTATTATACTTGGCCTCTTTATGGTACTAATGCCCATTCTTTTGATGAACCTTCTTATTGGTCTTGCGGTTGGTGATATCGAGTCTGTCAGAAGAAATGCTCAGCTAAAAAGACTAGCAATGCAGGTAATTATTTAGTCCTAATATTTTAGCATGCATGGTACAGTTGATTTCTAGGTATAACAAACTTTTTTTTTTTTTTTTTGTTCTTTTTTTTGTTCTTCCCTACCTCGCCTTTTAGGCTATACGGGATTTTCCCGGGCCGGGGGGAGAGGGCGGGGAATTTAAAATCTCCTCCGGCACCGGGACGCGAACTCGTACTTTTTATATCATCTCAAATCTCTATTATCCGGTTGCCAGGCAACTAGCGGTGCTGTTACACAGGCTTTAGCTTATTCGGCCACCCGCCCTCCCAAGGTATAACAAACTTATAGAAAACATTTGTGCTGCTTTTTCCCTTGCCCCTTTCTTCTAAAAAGTTGTAAAGTAAAAATTATAAAATTTCTTGTTATTCCTTTTAGAGTTGGTAATTAAACACCTATCCTTGTTCCAAGATAAAATCAGGAATGAAAAAAAAAAATTTTATTTATGTTCCAAGTTTAAAATTGGAGCAGGGTAACTCAGTGAGTACGGCACTGGTTTCCTAAGGACAATGTTACAGGTTCGATTTTGACAATGGCAGGTAATTATTTATTCTGTTATATCAGCTGTTGATTGATCCTGGGTTCTGCTGTGGCACTCCCAGCCTCTATGAAGAGGGTACTCTTTATTAAGTATTTTATGACAATGTTTAAAATTACTTGTGCTCCAAGTTTCCTAGGGAGAAACAATGTCTGAGAGACAATGAACCTCTGCGTCATTTGTACATAAAAAATACCACCAATGTGATTTCTTTAATTTTTTAAAGCAAAAGGAAAGTTCAATAAGGATTAAGGCTTAAACAAGGATTTAGTAAAAATTAAGAATTTGTACATTCATCAATCTTAGGGCAGTCAATATTATATCCTTATTTAATTAATAGTATAATATATTAATACTAGTAAAGCTTTCTTATTATTTTTATTAATTAAAATTTGTTTATGATACCATTTGTTATTACAAAATAAGTTGTCATTGATCCCTTCACAAATTTAAGTATTTTATTTAATTTTGCTTTTTATTTTACAGGTGGTACTGCATACTGAGTTAGAAAGGAAACTTCCTCAAGTTCTTCTTGAAAGAATCGATAAGATGGAACTTATTGAATATCCTAATGATAAATGCAAGACCGGATTCTTAGATCATCTGCTTCGAATGTGGTTTTTTAATCCATTTTCAGAAGATGGTAGGGCATTAAATTGATAATTGGAACATCTGTATTACCAGTAAAACAGGAGAAAAGTGAGCAGCAATCTGTAAAAACATAATTACGGATTGTAGTAAATAAGTATTAGTAAATCTATGAATACTGTCTTGTCATTTTCATGCATTCCATGTTATTTTTCTCCTTTTTACTGCATTATGCTTTGAGTGTCAGAAGAAATACTCACAGATTTCAAAAATATCAAAATTTATTAAAGATTTAATAGTTAATTATGGATAATACCCATAATTCATTTGATTTCCTAGAGCCATTGATTTTGTGGTCGTAAATTATATAAAGATAATAAATGTGTGTTTATCATTTTTTTAGGTTTAGAAATGGTTTTGGAAAATAATGAGGATTTGGTGACAGAAGAGATAACTAAGATGAAAAGAAAACTTAAAGACATAACAAAGATACTTGACTCACAGGGACAACTTCTGAAACTCATTGTTCAGGTAACCATGGAATAACAATCAAGAAGATAGTGGATTGCATCAGTAACTTACTGAGACCATTGGACTTAAGGTGGATTTATTTTTGTGGGCACCTAGAGTAAAAACTAAAAAACCCTGATGTGGGGCCCCCTTAGTATTGGGACTTAATTTAATGAGAAGATCCCTAAAAAAAAAAAAAAATAATCAAAGCATTGTTTCATCATGTTTTTAATTTCTATCTTGTTAATTGTTTCTAATGTTCAGTTAAACAATTATCCAATTTAATATCAATATAACATGAAGCAGTCCCAAAAAGAAATCAATAAATAAACAAGTATGTATTCTTCCATATTCTGTGCTTTGGCTTGTTGATAACTGTTATTCTTAAGTTAAAGTGCATAGAATAAATTTGCAGATATAAAGAACATTAAAAAAAATAGTTAAACATTTTTAAAAAGTTGTCTGATTAAGAAAAAAAAATTGTTTTTTTCCTTCTATCTACTATATTATGGGTCACCTTTACTCCCCACCAGGTATTCTACTGGATAGTGTGTTACAGCATCAGACTTTCATGAATGGTTCAGTTTCATTATACATTTTTAATTAAATGTTTAATAGTTTTATATTTAGGTACTTTAGAGAATTGGTTTCTGAATTTTTCATGGTATTTCAATTTAGAGATATTTTAATCCATATGTTCAACAAAACTCGTTCTGATTTGGTTTTCGACAATATCTATTTCCCTTTTTGTCTCTAGCATATAGAGGGAAAATTCAAAATAAAATTTTAAATTATAGTCCAAATTTTAGTTTTTGAGATATTTTAATCCATAGGTTAAAAATAAAACTCATTATCATTTGATTTTCGACACTATCTTTTCCCTTTATGGTTCTCTAACATAATGTCGTGTTAACATACAATTTTCAATAATAGCTCATTTCAATGAGGATGAAATGCTGAACATTTCTCTTTCTGACAGTATGAAGGTCAGATTTTTAGTTTATGAGATATTTTAATCCAAATGTAAAGATACTTCAATTAGTCAACGTCAGCCGATTTTACTGGAATGAACATTACACATCTGAGCCTGGCGGCCTAATCTAATTCACTACCCACAAAAAAAGTACAAAGTGCACCTAAAGAAGTTTTCACTTCAAAAAATAACAAAAAAGTTTGGAAGGGTGCCTTAAATAAAAAGGCCAAAGTGATGAGAAGAGGTGATGAAAAGTATTCCAACACAGGAGCACAGAGAACTATCAGCTAAAGCCGTCCTCAAGGCCACTCCTCTCTCCCACTCATTGTCGATAAAAGGTTAAGGTAGGGGTCTCCAAACTTTTTGGCCGACAGACCACATTTAGACCTCCACTAGGTCCCACGGACTGCATTGAGATATCCATCGAAGTCCCGCGAGCCATGGCTTGTGATGAAAAAAAAAATCTTGGTCTATAAATGACACTTCAATTGTGGAATGAGCATCCTAAGAGAAAAAAAAACCATGCAACAAATGTTGTAGAAAACTCTTGTGTGCGTAATTTCCTAAATTTCAAATTTTTTAATATTTTTTTTTTTAATTTTACCATGCTCTCAAAGAAACTTTTGTCAGATTCGTGGTGTATGCAGGCCGTAGTTTGGAGATTCCTGGGTTAAGCTATGAGTGTACTCCTAATCATTTGAATTGGCTTCTGTTAACTTTGCCATTTTAGCCCACTCAGCCATTCCTGTCCCAATATTTAGACATATCAGCCTGCTAATGATGTCCTCAGGTGAGATGAGAATGAAACAAACAATATTGATAAATCAGTATTTATTTGGTTTAAGTTGGATATTTTAAAATTTTACAGTAATTAAAATTTATATATAACTTTTGTTATTCTTTTTATAAACCTCAAGAAAAATTAGTACAATGACAAAATGAGTAGAAGGAAAATTAATTGACAAACAACCTCTATAACTGATAATCATGTCATGACATAGTTTTTAAAAATGATTAAAGTTGTTCAAATTGTATAATATATACACTTTTTTTTCTCTTTTTACAGAAAATGGAAATCAAGACAGAAGCTGATGAAGTTGACGAAGGCGTATCTCCCCGTGAACTTGAATCTGGTCCTGGTGGTGGTTCCAAATGGACATCACCGAGGGTCAGGAACAAACTTCGGACTGCACTGAGCTTCTCAAAAGCACACCCTATTAAGTAGTTTGCACAAGAAATGGGCAGAGATATTCATCTCATTCCATAACCTTTATGATCACTTTTGAAAGTGTACGTTTTTAAAGGAAATAATTTTAATAAATAAATTACTACGGAGTAATTTTAAATGTTTTTACAAATATATGAATTTAGTTTGCTGCACACTTTTAAAGCAAATGAAAAACATATTTTTGTAGTAGAAGAGTTTGTGATTTTCAATATATATACTTCCATTAAAATGACTAATTTCATTTGGAAAGAGAATATACAATTTTGTAAAGAGATTTTATATTTGCAGTGATGTTAATTCATAAGAATTAAATAATATTTTCATAGCAATGAAATGAATGAAAATATGAGAAAAATAACTTTCATATCTAAAGTCATATTTAAACCGTCTTATAATCAAAGAATTTAATGGTGAACTAAATGTATAATTATTATAATTTTTTTTAATGTTACTATGAATGATTGTTTAAATAAAGGTTTTAATTTAGTGAGTTTATGAACTTTTTTTTGTTGATAATCTGAGAGAACCTTTTTCCTAGGCTAACCTTTGTTGTACCTCAAATTTGAAGGCATGTATAATTCTTTTCCTCTATATAATTTAGAAATTTAAATTATCTATAATTACAAAGATTTCTCAAGAACCAGGATTGTTTGCTTGACCAACTTTGAGGACAGGACTGAACAGCAGCAACCTAAACCTCTCTTTAGTGTTGTTATGATGTAGTTGTAGAAACAGAGAGCAATAAAGTAGTGCATATATAACATATAGTACATATGTTATATAGTTATATAACTAAACCTGTTGTATAGATTCTTTTTTCAGCTCCCAAGAGTGGTAGATTTTGATGAATGGCGTGTCAGATGAAAGGAAATTTCATGGACAAATGAAAATTCATAATTTCAAACATGACTACAATTACAATAAAAGTTATTGAAAAAAATTAAGTCCGAAGGTGTAAACTGGTACCACATTTTTTTTCAAAAGCCAATGAATCAAGACTGGAGAAATTGTCAATGGTGCTATCCAGAGGTGCCCATCCCACCCAAGGCTGATGGCATATAAACCTTCCCCATCCCTCCCAAGATATCTGATTCCTCTCTTCTTCTTAAAGATAGTGCAAACAATAGTAAAATTTAAATATTCGAAGATTACATATCCTTTGGTCTATTCTATGCTTCCACTTGTCTTTTAATTTTGAAAATTCACCATCCCTTCATAATGTGCCCTCTCAAAAATTGAAAACCCTGTCAAAAAGTGCCCCCTCATATATTTTGATTGCGCAAATTGCGCCATAAAACCCTCATCTGGGCACCCCTGGTGCTATCTGTTGTAAGCCTTATCTGAAACCTGGCATCAATCAACGGTTTATTAAAAACCCTGAGGCTATTTTTTATGACATTATGGATTTATAAACAACCGATGGAATGATTTTTTTTTTTATGGCCTTATACCGATTTTATGGCTAGAAGACCTTCTGTGCTATGGTTCAATAAAGATTGCAAAGAGGCCATAAGAAATCGAAGAAAAGCTCTTAAAACTTTTCAAAAGAATATGACAACAAATAATTTTATTGAATAAAAGAAACAGAGATCTATATGCAGATGAAGCCTTAATTAAAGTAAAAAAGAATCATGGACATCGTTTGTGACGACTATCGATTCCTCTACATCAGCGAACATCGTTTGGAATAAAATTAGAAAAATAAAAGGAGCACCTTCAACAATTAGATATACATTACAGTCTGATGGTAAATAGTATGATTACCCAAGAATATTAGCAAATATATTTTCTACAATTTATTCAGACATATATAAAGAATCTTCTGCCAATGGACACTTTTAGAACATAATGTTCAAAGCTGAAGATACATCTCTTGACTATAACTCTCCGTTTACTATGTGGGAGAGACAGAGGGTGCTTAAAACTGTTGAAGGGCATATCTTAGTCCAGACAATAGCCACTATGCTATGTTATTACAAGAAACATTATTCTGGCTTTTATAACCAGATTTGGCAGCGCGGTGGCTTAGGGCGTACTTAGGGCGTGGCTTCATTCAGAAGTTGTCCCAATTTTGAAAAGTTGTCAAGACAAAAGGGACTCATTAAGTTATCGAACATTCTTTCAAACAAGTGGTATATGTAAGATCTTAGAACAGGTGGTGAACAAGAGACTAGTATAGGTGTTGGAAAAGAGAAAACTCATACAGAATTTACAATGTGGTTTCTGGAAGGGCAGATCCACCATTGACCACCTAGCTCATATGGAAGCAGAACCACAGTATGCTTATGTTCAGGAGGAGCCATTTTCTTTGACATGCACAAGGCTTATGATAAAACCAATCAATAAGTATTCTTAAAAAATTGGCGCTTTTAGATTTCAGAGGGAACTTACCGATATTCATCCAACAGTTTCTATTCCATCGTCTTTTTAGGGCAAGAGTAGGAAGTACAATGTCCAATGAATGCGAACAAAGAAAAGGAGTGCTCTGAGCACAACGCTCTTCACATTAGCTATAAGATAACTTGGAAGTAACCACCCTCGGGGAATAAAATCTATGCTATTCGTAGATGATCTAGCAATTCTATGCAGATCGGACATCCTATCGATAAAGAGAAAACTACAAGAGGCACTGAATCGCATAAGCCATTGGTCATAATCAACAGAACTACGATTCCCAGCTGAAAAAACAAAATGTGTCCATTTCAGCAGAAAACTAACTACTCCGCAACCACCTGAGCTTCTACGAAACAATGTCTCTCTGTCGTATGTCAATAGCTGCAAATTCTTAGGAATTACATTCAGCAAGCGTCTTTCTGTCTGGGTCATCAATTAAAATTATTAAAAGAAAAATGCCCTGGAAAGCTCAACATATAGAAAATCCTTAGTGGAACCAGTTGAAGAACAGATCGTGCGACTATGCTCAGGATATACCAATTTATAATATGCTCCAAGATGGACTATGGTAGTTTTATATATGCTTCCGCCGGAAAAAAAATACTAAAACAACTCCGTACCGTACACCATACCGGTATAAGAATCGCAACCGGAGCCTTCAGAACTAGTCCGTCACTAAGCCACTGTACAGAATCAGAACTACCGCCGATATCATTCCGTCGTGACAAATTAGCAATTAACTATTGAAATGAAAAACAATTTTATTCTGGGACTACTGTCCCCTAAGAATAATAACAGAGTTACAAATTTATGTATCTTAGTCTGACATAATAAAAATACCAACTAATTTATTGTTAATTGTTATTTCAATTGTGCAATGGATTGAAATTAAACATTGTATAGATGCAAGTAATTTTACATGTTAGGGGAAATTTGAATGTGGAGTAGGTGTTGGAACAAGAGTTGTTTGAAGGAATTTGTGGATGAGGATTGACGCATTGGGGTAGGAAGTGAGTTCCATAAGGAAGCAGCACGAATGACGAAGGATTTGCTGAAGGAGGAAGTTTTATGGGAGGGAATATATAAGTCTACAGGTTGAGACCTAGTATTGAGAGAGTGGATAGAGGAGTGCAGAGTAAGGAGTTCCAGGATGTAGTGAGGGTTTTTAGTTCTGAAGACTTGGAAAAGGAAAACGCCAAGAAGGAATTGTCGTCGGGAAGTAGGATAAAGCCACTTCAACTCGGTGTACCATAGTGAAACATGTGAACGTCTGGGGATCCCGAAAATGAATCTTATGAAACAATTCATGAGTCTTTTTAGTCTCATTTCCAGCCTGGCAGATAGCCCTCCATACACCAAGCAGCCGTAGTCGAAGTGGGGGAATACAAGGGAGGTTACAAGGAGCTGTCTGGTTTTTAGAGGAATACAATCACGGAATCTTAGGAGTTGTTTAAGGGCAGTTATGGATTTTCGGGTAATCTGGGAGATATGATTATCCCAGGAGACGTTCTGGTCAAAGGTTACTCCTAGGTTTTTGACTGTAGGGAAAAAATGGATGGAGTGGTTATTGAGGTAAAGTAGAGGAAAGCAAGGAAGGGAGCTGATAAGATGTCTGGACCCAAGGATCCAACTATTGTACAAAACTATGCTTCCAAACTATTCACCCTTCCCACAGATACATATTCAGGCCAAAATTTTCTTCATTAGTCCAACAGAAGTCCAATGCTACCCTATCATTATTAGAGAGATTATTCTAGGTAGTTCAATAGTTAAAATTAATTACCATAAATTCAACATATAATCAAACGCCTCCCTGGACATATATACAACCTCAAATAAATCTACAACTAAATAAATTGACCAAAGACAAAACAGTAGCATCAGATCTCAAAGATAAATTTTAAAAATTAATTAGCGGAACATCATTTAATTTTCACTGACGGATCCAAATCTGACGCAGCAACATCATCAGCTTTTGTGATCAAAGATACCACCGATAAAATGAAGTCACATCAATGCAGTAGTATTTATTCTGCATAGGTAAATGCCATTGCTATGGTCATATTAGATTCATCTACCTGAAAAAAAAAAAAAACGATAGTAATCGCTTCAGATTCCTTAAATGCTCTAAAGAGTTTAGCAAACATGTAGTCCGATTATTCAGGAATTCAACTAATATCAGAAATGTTAAAATTTATTACTGATAACGAGAAATCAGTTGAGAAATGGCAGTCTAAAAGGCAATAAAATGGTCGATAAAGCAGCAAAAGTAGCACTGTCGCTCCCAGGCCGTGGTAGGACCTTGCTAACACCATCCGATCTCTCACGCCCCCTTAAAGAAAATACTGCTAAGTAGGAAAACCGTGTAACAGCTGCCGACAACTGACTGCCAAACACATATTGACAGACTGTATATGACTACACCAGGTCACCAGAAAAAGACTTTGAGTCAATGGACAGGATCTACGAACGTTAACAGGAAAAGGCAATAAATCCAATGATGAAATCATACAAAGGAAGGAAATGGTCCGGGGTGGCGGTCATAAATAGCCTAAATAGTGGCAAAACTATTTTATTAAAAGCCAACGTTTCGACCCGACTTTACAGGACTTCTTCAGGGAGGTGTGTTCAGCTCGGAGTTACACTTAGAATACTAGTCCTAATAGCTTTGCCACTATTTAGCCTATTTATGACCGCCACCCCGGACCATCTCCTTCCTTTATAATGCAATGGTCAACTATTAAATATTCAATATCAAATTATACAATTTGTAAAAGAAATAAAAGGTTTTAAATAATAGTAAACGTTACTTAGGAATGGTGTTTCTAGCGTAATGTAGTTGTACATGGTACCATAATGTTAAATAAATAAAATAAATTTGATTTTGGAATTAATTGTGTATAATTCTCGTTTATTTCAAATGGAAATGTTTTACGAAAACCAAAATATTTTTTGTTTTTTAGAAACTATGTGAACATTATTTTTTGTCATTTTATTAACCAATAAAATCACTATAATAAAGATTAAAAAGCATCAGAGACCTAAAATATACATAAACATATGTACGTATCTATGAACTTCACAAGATATAGCCAATATTTTCTGATACTAAATTAATACATCTGACTAAACTGATGTTGCCCATCCATGATTATCATCATTTTTAGGAAAATAAATGTCTAAAAATTATATTTATACGAAATAACTGAAAAATTAACATATGTTTTGAGCATCATCTTAATGAAATCATGAATGTTTACATTCCGACTGGAATGCCATATTGATATACCAGTTAAAAAGAAAGCTCCCTTTTATGCGATGAATATAACCTGCGTTTCACATATTTATATTTTATAATCAATAATTTTGTTCTTTCCGATGTTTTAATTAACTTAAAAATGACAATTTTAAATAGTTTTTTTTTTAATGTTAAAAATGTTCGTGATATATTTGTGATGATTATTAACAGTTGAGTGAGAAGAAGAATCGTGATGATTAAAACAATTATTTCAATGGTTGCACTATTTTTTGATATTGTACATGGACTGGACAATGGGCTTGCCCTCACCCCACCAATGGGATGGAATACATGGGAACGGTTCAGGTGTACTATCGATTGTGAATTATGTCCCAATGAATGTATCAGGTATTATTTTTTACCAGAACTATCGTAAGCTAGGGAAATGTATGCAAATATTTTAGGTTAGAAAACCTATTGTCAAATTCTGTTTCACCATAAAGACTCCAATAAGAAGCAGATAATGTCTAAGCAAGAGCATATTACATATATAAATAAATGGATTGAAAATGTCTCATATTTTTCAGCGAGAGATTGATTAAAAGGACGTGTGATCTTATGGTGAGTGGTGGTTATCTAGAAGCAGGGTATGAATATATAGTTATCGATGACTGTTGGTCGGCAAAAATGAGGGATAAAGATGGAAATTTACAACCAAACAACACCAGATTTCCCAAAGGAATTCTCGATCTTTCAAGATATGTATGATGATTTTTCTTTTAGTAATAAAATCTTTATTTTATTCTTTTTTTTTTTTTTTTTTACCCGGTATAAAATAAGCTCATCATATTAGCATAATAAAACTGAGGAAAACATTCGAAACCAGAATATAAAAAAAAAAGTTAAGACGTCAGAAATCGTTCATTATCTTCCCTTTTATAATTTTTAAAAAGTCATGAAGTTTCCCAAGTAGAGTTTTGATAAGTTATATAAGTCGAGATGTTATAACATATTGTTTATTACTAATATCTCAAAAACTAAGAGATTTATCGAAATTACAGTTGCGGTCGAAGAAATTGCGTCACCTACTTCTTTTGATTCTTTGGTTGATAACGCTGATTCCATTGAATGTTTTTGTTTATTTTTACTCATTACGGTTACAAGATAACTTTAACAATGTTTCTCAGTTCAGTTTTAACTAACGTCGGGATAAAATCTGTAATTATGACCTGTATCAAAAACTGTTCTCGTCAAAAAATATTAAAATTTTATGATGTTAAAAATATTGAACATGAAGTAAAGGAATTTTCACGAGAGTATGGTACCACCAAAAAGCGGTAGTCATATTTTTAAGAGAAAAAAAAAGGCACCATGGAGAGGGGAAAAACTAGGAGGTGGAAAAACAAACGAACAATTTGACCGCTTAATGGTGCGATTGTTTTTAGAATATGGTTTTAACGCTGGCAAAGAAATATCCGGAGATATTGCAGATAATAATCTGGTAAACAAAATGAAGTTTCATAAAATTTTTACTGAGTGATGCAATTTCTGTGACCGTGACTGTATTATCTTATAGCCTTGGAGCCAGGGCCCAAGGTTTGATTGTAAATTACGAAATTGTTATTGTGTGTAAAAAGAACCTTGTCTGCCGTACCGGAGCCGCTGCTTTTAAAAATGGCGGCTGATATAAAGAATATTAGGCCAATAATTTCAGGATCGAAATGGGAAATCCATTGCGAAAAATGTTTTTATTTTTTAACTTCTATACATGGGTTCAGAAATGTAAAAAACAAAATTTCTAACGCTGGCCACCAAGGGAAAACTTTTTACAGCCAAAAAAGTCAGATTTTAACAATATTTTTTGGGTTTTTCACCTATAACATCTAAACGATGCATCAAAGCGAGAAATGTATTCTTTAATAAATTGAGGAACGTTAAATTTTGCGTCAAACGAGCACATAAACTTTAAAATTTGGTCACGCGGTAAGGTATAAAACCACGGTCAACCAACGCTGATTTTTACCACATTGGTCAAAAACTGAGACAAATTAATAAAAATTGCCCTGTAACTTGGAAATGAGTTTCCTAAGAGGAAAAACCCATAATATCAAAGTTGTAGAGCATCAAATTTTGCGTCTGCTGAGTACTGATATTTTTATTTTAGGCCAATTATATATCTCGAATCGGGGTTCGTTATTCCTTTATAAAATTCAGTATCTTTTGGCACATCGTTTACCAAAATCCTTTGCTGTTGAGAGGCTTATAATGCATGTAACAGACTCTAAGCAAAACTAACTCAGTAGTGTAAACACCCATACTGTTGAAATATTGAAAATCACGTTTACCTTCATTACCAATTTCTAACCATTGGGAGATTACCGATTTTGTTCGCAGCAAGTGACCTACATTAAATTATTTGGTACTCAGTAGATGGAAAATTTGATGTTCTACAAATTTGATTCTATGGGTTTTTCCTTTTAGGGAACTCATTTCCAAGTTACAGGACCATTTATAGTAATTTATCTCAGTTTTTGACAAATTTGGTAAAAATCGGCGTTGGTTGGCCGTAGTTTTATACCGCGTAATCAAATTTTAAAGTTTATGGTCATGTTTTAAAGTTTATACCCATGTTTTAAAATCGATGACATACCCTTCGATATTATCGACTATCGATATCGTCATTACTATATTTTAATTTTAATCTAAAAATTATATTTAAAAATATCAATTTCGGAAAGCTCTAGAGATTGTATATAGGAATTTGATCGTTAAAAAAAAATTATACTCATCTTGCCTGTTATATTGAGTGTATGGTAAGCTGAGTATGAGGAAGACGTACAGGGACCAGAAAATTAATTTTACTAAGGAGGATAGAAGAATTAATATTTCCATTCTTAAATAAATAAATCTTGTTTTGATGAGCATATGTCCTAAAGAACAAAACTTATATTGATTTTTTATTCATATATCAACAATATTTATAATATTGATGAAAATATCAAGTTGCGATAGTATAGATATTTTTATGGTATCAATAGTTATAGGCCGATATTTCTATTGATGAAAATATCTATATTGGGATATCCCATCCCTAAGGGGATGTAATAATTGATAGAACTGGCGTGAATATAGAGGGAGCTACCATAGATAATAGAATATATTTTCTTTATCTCCATTTTATACTCTATGGTCGATACCCATCGACACTTAACCCCAGATTGAAAAAAAAAATCCAGATCTCATTAAACAGCTCCTTTTCTGCCTTCTTCGGGCGTGTGTTGTAGCCATGTTTTTTATAAGTTTGTTGGTATGTTCGAGAAGTTTTTTTTTGGTCTTGACATTTTTGACAAGCCCTAAAATGAACCATTTTTGAAATAAGGTATGGGTAATCTTATTTTAGCAATGGTGAATCTTGATAACAAAGTTACTATGGATTCCTAATCACATAAAAATTAAAATATTTTATTTATTGTAGCATATTAAGTATTTATTATTGCTCACAGCTTCTTTTTTTTTTTTGTCGTTACATCTATCTTTGTTAATTCATCATCAAATCAAATCACTAGCGGATCCAGGATTTAATTTTGGGGAGGCTTCAGCCCGAAACCTTTTTTTTTTTCATAAAAATGACGATAATTACTTTGGAAAAACAGAAAGAAACTAACTACCTATATGAAATGGTGTTTAAGTTATTCCCTAAGTACTTTTAAATGTAATTACACGAACAATAATACTTTAAGAGGTATTTTTTTCCCATAAAACATGGTTATATTTTTCCTATCTATGGTTATATCTTTCCTACCCGAAAGCCCCCCCCCCCCGTAGATCCGCCCGTGCTATATGATATGATGTTTAAGTGATTGTTGAAGTCCTAATTAATGTAATTACTCGAACAATGATACTTTAAGAGATAGTTTTTAATATTTTTTTCTATAAAACATGGTTATATTTTACCGTTTTGAGGGAGGGGGGGGGGGGAGAGGCTTCAGTCTGAAAGCCCCCTCCCCCGCCGTAAATCCGTGTGTGCAGGGAGATGATCCTTGGAACTTGGCATTGCAATCCGCTCTTTCCTTTCAAGATGGCGTCCGAAAAATGATCAAGATGTCGTTATAGACTGTAGCTCCTAAACAAAAGCATCAATTACAATGAAACCAAAGTCCAAGTTGGCAAAAGGTCTCCTCGAAGCCATTTAAATTTATCAATATAAAAAACTTCACCGAAAAATACTTTCCTTTCAGGATGGCTGAAAAATCAGTATCCTATAGACTGTAGTGCCTAAAGGAATGTACTGATTTCAATGAAACTTGGTTAAAGTCATCTCCTTCGATATAACATGGTTCACCTAAAAGGAGCTGGGAAAATTATTTTAATTAAGAGTACCCACTTTATAGAGGCTGGGTGCGCCCCAGGAGGGTCTACATACCTAGAGTCGCCCCATGGCCAATGAAACAGAATAAATAATTTTTATGCCATGAGCTGGGATTCGAACCTGGGACTTTTAGCACTAGAAGCTCAGTACCTTACCACTGAGCTAGCCCTTTATAAAATTAATCCCTTTAATATCTATGTAATCATTAAAGTTGGAAAAAAGAAATGTATAGATTAATTATAATTTGGAAATATTTTCATTTTATACAGCTTAATCTTTTCGATAAACTAAATAATGTTTGAGATATTCAATAAAAAATCAGTTTTTCTGATCTCTTCTCTTCTCCCACCCTCCCCCTTTCTACTGAAACCCAACATGGGAAATTTCAGGACTTATTACTAATTATTAAGGTAATGAAGGAATGAATATTTCAGCTTTTTTTTTTTTTGGATGTTTTGGTGAATTCTCTAATTTTACTTCACTATATTGAGAACTACACAAATGTGGTGAGGTTGATGTCAATGTATTTTCAACATTAGGAATTAGGAAACTAAATTCAATTTAAAAATGAATCTTATACAGATATCAAAAATGTAAAACTGTTCATTGGATTCCACATTCATTGTAATATTTTTTAAGTGAACTAATGTTTTTACAGCAATTAGAAGTATTATGAATAAAATACCTCCTTAATAAAGAGAATGAACTCATTAGCAATGAGTGAATGTTATCAAGGAAAACAATTATGAATTATATTTGTTGAAAGCTCCTATATACTGGTACATCTTTTCTAAGACATAACCAATCTTTGCTAGTATTTGTATTGAAAAATATTTTAATTTCGATGTTTTAATTTAAGATAATTTTATTCTAGCTCCATAGCCGGGGAATGAAATTTGGAATATATGCAAATCTCGGCACTAAAACCTGTGCTGGCTATCCAGGAACTATCACAGATATTTATAAGGATGCTGACCTTTTCGCTTCATGGGAAGTTGATTTTGTTAAATTGGATGGGTGCTATTCGGAAGTTCATGAAAAAGAAATTGGTGAGCTCATCAACATAGTTAAATAAGTGTATAATATAAGCATCAAAAAATTAAAAAAACTAACAACCATGTACAAAAATTAAATGAAGGGAAACTGGTGAAATTTTTTTGATTTGTATCTAATTTAAAATATTAGAAGATTAAAACATTTTAACTCACAAATTTATTAAATCTAATAATAAAATCAATAGTATCTCAAGTGCCAATTAATGATCAAAATAATTATTACAAAATCGGAGTGAGAACAACCATGTAAAATTATATCTCTAGCAAAAAACTCTACCTCTTTCAAGGATACCCGGCGTTTGGGATGTATCTTAATGCCACTGGGCGTCCAATAGTCTACAGCTGCAGCTGGCCAGCTTACTTGGAAGATGAAGCCATAGAGGTGAGTCTTCCATCTAGAATCATTGGTAAAACCTTAATCTATCATAAAAAATTTCAAATGTGTTACAGCCTGACTATGAAGCCCTTAAGAAATATTGCAATTTATGGAGGAATTATGCTGACATAGAAGATTCATGGACTTCATTATGTGATATCATGAACTTCTTTGCAAATAATCAAGACACAGTTGCAATTCATGCAGGGCCCGGTCACTGGAACGATCCTGATATGGTAAAAATTATGAAGTTTTATTGTTATATGAATTTTGTGTCATGTCAATCATAAAAGGTTTTGTTTTACTGTAGGATTTTTTTCTATTTAATATATGTACATCTCTGTCCTGTTCAATTTCCTTAAAACAGGCAGCAGGTTAATATTCCAGAAATTCCAGTCTTAGAGAGATGGAGTTTTGACCAATTGTGGCAGAACCACGTTTTGAAATACTTATGAACTTATATTATCCATTGCAGTAGACATCCCCCTATATTTACTTCTTTATGTGACATTGTGTGGGGGAAGGAGAAGGAATATATAAGAATGTGAGGTTGAATTGTACTCAATTGTGCAGTGGACAAATTATTCATTGAAAAGTCTCATATTGATAAACAATCAATGAAGGAAGAAGGTTGGAATAGGATGGAGCAGGTATCAACAGCTGGAGAAGGACGCTGGAGAGAAGAGAAGGCACTCTAGGCCAGGACAGGTAGAAAGTAGGTTGTCAGAAGAGAGAATCCTACAACATGTAAAACTAAGAATATCAAGCCTACAGCTATAAGACTTTAATATATTCACCTATTACAGTTGTAAAATTAAATAGTTTTGTTGGACAGGAGTGAAAAGTCATTTATTTATTTAGTTGTCCTATAGGCTTCACAATTGAAGAATAACAAACCAGGTGAGTCAATTCATTCAAAGTGTATTTACTCAGTCCCATATTTCAGATATATATATTCTTATTGTTTCTTCTCACCCAGTGTCACAAAAGTATTAGGTTCCCGAATTTCCAACAACAGTTAAACACCCTCAAAAAGTCTATATACAGTGTTGGGGTTTTGTTTTAATATTCACGAGTGTAAATAACCTAGTCTCCCAATAAAAGCGGAAGTTATATTTACAATTCCCGCATAAACAAATTATTTACATTTAACTTTTAACATGTTATTTACACCATTAGTTGTTAAATATTAGAAAGAATTAAGTAAATATATATTTTTTATATATTTATCCTTTGTAAATATTTTGGCCAACCGGAACGAAAACATGTGCTTAGCTTTCCCTTGACCTGAAAGCAGCATTTGACATGGTTCCCAGGCATGAAATATGGTAGGCTATTAGAGCTAAATACGTCCCAAGGAACTTAGTGGAGACTGTAATGTCCATTTATCAACACCCAAAGGGAGTTGTCATGCTGAATGGGTTGGAGTCTGGTTGCATTGACGTGGCAAGGGGCATCAAACAAGAAGATAGTTTTAGTCCATTACTATTTCTAATTTATATGGATGAGGTGATGGCCATCTGTAAAAGAAGAACAGAAAGGACAAAGATACCTGAGGAGAAGAAACCTACGTCCGGTGGTGATGCAACTTCTACTATATACAAATGATATTGTCCTTATCGCTGATTCGGCTGAAATGTTGCAGCAGGCGACACTAGCAGATCCAGGATTTAATTTTGGGGGGTGGGGGATTCAGCGCAAAAGATTTTTTTTTCATATACATATAACAATAATTAATTTGGAAAAAAGAAAGAAAGAAATTAACTACCTCTATGAAATGGTGTTTAAGTGGTTCTTGAAGTCCTATTAAATGTAATTAAATGAACAAGAATACTTTAAGATATAGTTTTTAATATTTTTTTCTGTAAAACATGATTATATTTTACCATTTTGGGGGAGGCTTCAGCCTGAAGGCCCTCCCCTTTCCCCCTGTAGATCTGCCTGTGGCAGGCGGTGACTGAATGATATGAGGAACTGTACTGGAAAGAAATGCAGATCAATACCAGCACAAGTAAGGTACTACAAGTAGGAAGGCAAAATGAAGAGAGGCATGTACATTGCAATGGAAAGCAATTAAAAATGGTCTCAGGCTTTATCTACCTAGGAACTATCATAGAAATATCGGGGAAAGTAGACTCAGAAATATCCAATAGAATATTTGAATATTTCTAATTACCAACATTACCTGTGATCATCATGATATAAATGGGTGGCAGAATTAAAATAACTTTTACTAAAAAAACTTATTTTACAATTATATTTAATAAAGTATATATACAAATTATATTTACAAGAAACTAAATACATGATTCAATGAATTTAATCAATGACTGTGAAGGCATGATTTCAGAACGACTGTTTTGAGAATTATTGCCATGAAATATTTTAACATTAGTAAATCTATTGTTAGGAATTAAAACTTAGCTATGGTTTATGAAGTGGTGTAGTTAGTAGGTTTCATCACTGCATCTGCTGATTGAAGGTACTCTTATCCAGTCAAAGCCCAGATCCAAACTCTGCCAAGACGCCCATCTCACCGGTCTGTGTAGGCCAAGCTGGCTCTTCCGTCCCCAAGTCCGAAATAAGATATAATACCTCTTTTCTTACTTCTTGAGAAATTTTCTACAAATATCTAGGGTGGGTCAAGGATGATTTGGATTGGTTCTTAACTTCGCAGGTGTACAATTATTTTAACTGGCCACACCCTAAAGGGGACCAGTTACTTAACCCGTTACTAGTTACCAGTTACCCTAAGTAAAGGTCTTCCCCAGAGCCCTCGGTCCTTAGGTAACTGAAAATCTTAACGCTGACTTTGATGTCAGCAGATGTGTTTGGTCTCAGCATATTTTAACTTTGTTTTCGGCACCTCATAATAATTTTAAAAGATTATTTGCTATGTTGAATACATAGCACATTGAAGATGATGGTCAACACTCTGGATGGCAAAAGACATCGAGGACACCCAAGAATGTCATATCTGGAGCACATCGATAGACTCTGCGAAGGAAGAGGCAAAGATCTCTGTCGAGCCAGGAACCTAGTAAAGAACAGAGAAGAGTGAAGTTTGTGGCAGCTCACCCCCTTACACTGAGAGGCACGAAAGGGAAAAGCTAAAGAAGAAGAAGAAGAAATATTTTGGAATCAGCTCTTCTAAAATTTTGTTTTCCTTAATGTAATTTAATATATTCTTTATAGTTCCAAAATATAGAATATATGAAAAAATTAGTTTGTGCTTTATTAAATTGGTTGTTATATGTAGTATATGTCCTGAGTATCATATTTATATTGGTATGTTTATGACATCAATTTCAAACTTAAAATTAAACAATGCTATTTTATCATTTACAGTTGATTATTGGGAATTTCGGTCTTAGCTATGAACAAGCTAAGGTCCAAATGGCTATTTGGGCTATACTTGCAGCACCTTTGTTTATTTCTACAGATTTTGAAACAATACGTCCTGAATTTGCTCAAATCTTATTAAATAAGGATGTTATTGAAATCAACCAAGATAAACTTGGCATCCAAGGTAGAAGAATCTATAAGGTATGATATTCTGCAGTGGCTTTATTAAAAATAATATTTTATAAACATAATGATTTGAATTATTTGGTTTTATTGTTCATGATTGGACTTAATGGTATAAAATAAATTAAAGAATAATATAGAAATCCGTAATTATTACAAGTTTCATTGAGCTTTATATCTTTAATTTATAAATGAATATTAGTTAGAACAATAAAGGGTTTCAATTAAATGATCTACACTGTCAGTCATTAAAAGTTTGAATTAGTGTTCTATTGTATAATATTTTAGTTTTCCTAAAAAAAAACCTTCACAGAATTTTTTTGTTGTCAGAAAAAGAATCTTGAAGTTTGGCGCAAGCCAGTCTTGCCATGCTATATGGGATATCACTCTTATGCTGTAGCTGTTGTGAGTAAAAGAATTGATGGCATGCCGTTTTACCTGACAAGGACCTTAAAAGATCTTGGTCTCTATAATCCAAATGGATATATGATAAAGGTTTATATTCTGCATAAATATTCTTTTTTCCTTATTTCTTTTGGGTTTTTTTAATGACCATAAGCAATGTGCATAGTGCTATGTGAATTTCACTTAAAACATTTAAAGAAACTTTATCCAATAACTTGAAACTTTTTACATTTATTTCTCAAAAACTAATAGAACGAGATTTAAAAAAAACTGTTTATTTATTTCTTGATCTTAATCCATGACAAGTACTCTCAATAATAAACAAGTTGTAAAACTTACTAAAGCTTATGAAGAAAATAATAACAAGAAAGTAACAGCAAGACATTAAAAAAAAAAAAAAATTATTTTGCAAATAATTTACCATTACTGTTACAATCTAATTGTTAACTTTTGTGAAAAATCTCCTATAGCATTTTTCAACCTAACAATAAAATAACAAAAAAGTACCTAGCACTAAAATGTTTCGGTTAGTATTTTAAAATCTTTTATATAATATAAAAAAAAAAAAGTCTAAAAATTTAATTTGTCCTTATAACTACTTCAAATAATGTTGCCACAGTAAGGTTTATCATTGTCTTTAGTTGATTAATCACTCAAAAATGATGAGAATTGCTAGAACAAACATTAAACTTCTTTTTTCCTTTCAGCTGGGTTTTAATTCATCAAAAATATCTAGAAATTTGTACGTAGACATGTGGGTTTTTATATGATGGTAGGTAGCAAAACTAAATTTCCAACAAAGAAAAAAAAATTTAAATATTGCAACATCTCTCTTATATTTTACAAATAATAATAATATAACCTCCGAAGATCACTTTATACTGTTGGGATACTTCCAAAATAAATAAGAGGTTATTAAATAATAAACAAAATTATAAGAGTATATTTATCTCAGGTGTGGGTCACTGACAATCAGATCAAAACACTCAGACAAACTAACATTAACTACACTAAACACTGTTTGATTTTAAAATAAAGTCAAATATGGATTGGCAAGCTAACCATTTTTCTATATATAATGTTTCTTCCTTTGTGCACTAAATCCATTTGTCTTCAAATGCTATCCAATGTTCTGCCAAACACAACTTCCAAAATAGTGACATTTTCTTCTACTCAACTTAAGCTCCCTGGGGGATCCTCTCTCTGGTAGTTCCAAACAACTAGTCTCTCTGCCAAACAACAACTTCCCAGATGGTAATACTATTACTGGGTTTTTCCCACTGAAGCCAGGATCACTTCTCCGAACCTGTTTTCACTGCAGTCACACAACAACTGCTTGCCAACACAAAAACCTTTGTCCCTCTCCTCTTTGGGATTTCCCTTCTTGGAAAACTACAGAGCAGCCATTTTATTTTCCCTGCACTAGTAGAACTAAATTAGCTTGCCTTTTAATTTTTCAACATTACTTTATTAAACCTTAAGGTGTATATTAATATACAGAGAATAGGTATATGTTTAACCAGAGTTTAATTTCATAATATTGGTAATTTTATATAAATCTTTGTTAGAAGATGAAATTGATTAGAGTAAATTTGGTAAAGAGATTTTTTTTTTTTTTTGTCGGCATCATAAACAGAGCATGTAGATCATTTGCCACCTTAACAAGCCTGTTCTATCTCTGCCTGTCTTGGACTATTTCTTTCCATTTACTATTTCTTCACTAATCTCTATTGATTCTATCTATTCATTTGCTTTTTTTCCTTATATGTGGTCTTTTGCCTTCTATTGAGGCATTCTTTGTTACATAGAGGCTTCCAGATGGATTGCTATGAGCTACATACCCTGCTCATCTAAACCTCCATATCTTCATATCGTGGGATATTGTTTGATTAATTTCTGTAAGCAGTTCTTTATTGGTCTTTCTTCTTAATGTGTTAGTACTCTGATCCCAGATCGCTCCAGTTATCGTGCAGAGGATTTTCCTCTCAAATCTTTTAACACTTTTTTCTAGGGTGCTGGTTAGTGTCAAGGTCTCATAGCATGGTACACTCTTAATTTGAGATTTTTTGGGATTTCAATATCTTTGAAAGGGAGGAAGCTTTTGAGAAGAAAGCTCTGTTTGCGCTAGTTATACGCTAGTCTATTTCTGCCAATTGGTTAGTCATTGAGGTTATTGTAGAGCCAAGGTATTTGAATTGGCTACTCTTGGGTATGATTTTCCTTCCACACAGATCCTGTTATTGGGGTGGAATTTTCGGCTTACTATCATATATTTTGTTTTGTCTTCCTTAACTTGTAGGCCAATCTGCTCTGCCTCTCTTATCAGAGTCTTAGCGATTTTCTCAATGTTCTCTTGATTATTTCCAATGACAGCTATATCATCTGCATATCCAATGATTTTATAATTCATTCCGACATGGATCCCTCCATTTTCCTGTGATGTTGTTCTTATTACCTTATCCATGACTATGGATCCAAGTTGAATAACATCGGTGATAGTCCCACTCCCTGCCCTGAGCCCGTTCGAACTTTGAAGGCTTCAGATACTTCTCTTTGTATGAGGACTCTACATTTGAGGTCATTTGTACAAGCATTTGTCACTCTCACCAACTTACCCGGAACTCCCAGTTCAGTCATGATTTTCCAAAGACAGCACCTATCCACAGAATCGTAGGCAGCTTTGAAATTGACAAATATAGGACGTCCTCAGCTACTTCCCATTGTTTTCCGAGTACTTGTTTTAAAATGAAGATCTGGTCTAACGTGCTCTTCCCTTTTTAGAATCCAGCTTGATGGTTGCCTATTATATTCTCGTAATAGGGATATATCCAATTTAGTAGGATATTGGTCATTATTTTGTAGGCAACCAGGAGTGCTATGCCTCTGTAATTACAACACTCATACATGGAGTCTTTCTTAAGGATAGGACTGATTAGAACTTTAAAATTATATGTAGTTAATTATATAATATGGCAGAATGTATTAATATTCAATAAAAAAAAGAAGAATGGACTAAAATAATTTTATTTAAAAAAAAACTGTTAACACTAAAATGATTAAAATATAAAATCAAGTATACTGTGAAACATGTGTTGTACAAGAGGGAAATGGAAATTTATTATACATAAAAAAACAAACAGCAAATGAAACTGTATTTCCAACAAGAAAATAATTGTTGTTTAAATTGAAAAAATAATACGAGTATAAATATTTGAAACAATTACATACTAAATAAGGGTAACTAAAAAAGGGACAAACCGTATTTTCCTGCTCTTCTTTAGTGAAAGACATTTTAAAGTGAAGGAGTCTTGCAGTAGAGGTCCAACAGTTCACAATACTGACATAGTTACGTATGTCAATGAATTTACATATATGTTTAGCTGGCTAATTATGAAAATTTTATTATTGTGAGGATCCTGAAAAAATAAATTTTAAACAAGAAAAGAAACAAAGATAAAGACATCGAAGAAGAGGAATAATTTTCTAATGTAGTTTTATTTTTATAAAATAGTTTTATAATAAATTGTATTATATGTTTGAAATTTTTATCTTTATACCCCAAATTCCAATACCTATAATTATTTTTTTAACACAAGTATTTCTAAGGATAAAAATTTAAAAAGAAATATTATTTTAAACTAAAAAATTAAAAATCTTTACAATAAATTAATTTATTTTTGTTTACTTTCTGTAGGATTTGTTCTTTGGAATAATTAAAAACATGACATGTGGCAATGTGAGGATGAAGATCAATCCTACAGGTAAACTGAAGATTAATATAATTTTTTAATAATTTTATAGAGTATTTATTGTGTATGAATTAAAAAAATGTATTGTTTATTGATAAAATATTCTGTCATGAAATCTGTCACCAGCTAATATTGATTACTGATTGATTAAATAAGTTTTTCATTAACAGGTGTAGTTTTTTTGAAATTCACCTCAGTAGAAATGAATATGAAAAATGAAAAGATTCGATCTGCTCCTACATCATGTACAGAAGATATTTTTTTTGTTCAATAAATTTTATTACAAATTTTGTTTATTTTGATTTATTTTGATAAATATTGAATTTTGTTATTGGATATTATTCTACTAAAACTATGGCTAAACATGCTATTTTAAAATATGCGTTATCACTATATATTTTAAACTTCACAATAAAATTTATTTCTCTCTATTATATAAAAAAAAGTTTTTAGTGAGTATATAATATTTTATTTTATATATAAATAAAGCGAGCAAGACAGAACATAACGAAGGGATCTTAACTTTTATTCCCAGAATTATTTCTCCCTTATTATGGTTACAAATTGGCAATAAGAATAATCATAATTATATAATTATAAAAATTGGCAATATGGCACGATGTATAATATTGATTTTTAAGGAAATTACAAATTTGTCCGAATTATGGTTTTGTTATGTTTATCAAAAAATAGTAATTAAAAAATAATAAAAAGTTGTACATTTAAAAAAAAAATACATAGTAAACTTGTATTAGTGAACTCACCAGATTTTTTATTTAAAGCATTGGTAACAATTAATATAAAGCCAGGACAGAAGGAAAAATTTACTGGGCTGCTAGACGTCGCATGGCCGAAAGAGCTCCAGACGATCAAGGCATAAGATAAAAAAAAAATAATATAAATTAGTAATAAACTAATCAAGAGACAGAACATGAATGTTAGGTTAATATTTGGGTGGTCGAGCGAGTTAAGGGGCCAGCAAAAATTTTATGGTACAAGTTTAAATCCCGTTTATGAGATTTAAAACAAAAGAAAAAGATAAACAATAATTAATAATAAATTAAAATAAATTAGTGTGGTCACTACTGGATTGTTTAGACCATTACAGTGCAGGTTCGATTCCTCCATGGGGATGTTAATGTCCCCACTCTGAGATTCACAGGAAGGTGAGTGACTCCTGTATCTTACAACATAGCTCCTGGTCCTCCAGATTGGGGGTTTGGAACAGGGCCATTAAACCTATCTCATCAAAAACAACAGGATGGAGATATCTGCAAAAGCTTGCCAACCATTCTGATGAAGAGAGAGTGATTTGTGATCAGGTTATTAGGTTATTATAAACCATGTGCTCCCTGGATATCTTAATGTATTGTCAAGTTAATTTTATTAATTTGTTTGGACTTTTCTACGTTTATATCCATAAAACATCTAATTGTACCAATTCTGTACCTTTTTTTTCTAACAATAAGGTCTCAAGTAACATATATAATAAATAGCAATAAGCTAGTAGGTAACTGCAAGACTCTTGCAAGACCAAGACCATGACTTAGTGTGGAAGATCAAGGTTTATTGACGCAAGACCCAGACCAAGACTGCCTCGGTCTCCTCTTGGTCTTGCCTTTGGGCAACACTAGATGTAATTAATTTATTTTGATCTTTATGATAGCTTTGATAGTTTTAAAGTCCCCAAATAAATTGGATTACTACATCCTATCATTTCTCATTGTCCTCAAGAATACTGAAGTTGTTTTATTTTTTAAAATTAAGTTTATCATGTATCAAGACCTCTGAAAGAGTCTTTTCTCTTCCCTTCTTCGGGTTCGGTATTATTCTACAGAAGTTCTTGTGTGTCTTTGCTGAACCATCTGCCGATAAGCTTTATTGTTAATAATAGTGATCTTCTGACACTCCTCATCGTACCATTCTGCTTTCCGTATAACTTCTTGATATCCGATTGTTTCATTTGCAGCTTCCACTATTGTCTCCTTGCAACGACTCCATTGTTGGTATAAGTCTCTGGATTCTCCGAGGTTTCTTATCTTGTGATTCATATGCCTAGAGAAGCTTTCTCTCTTCTCATAATCTTTGAATACCTCCACGTTAAACCTGGCTTGTTGCGTTCTTCGCTGAACTCGCACCATTGAAATCCATACTCTGATCCTGGCGATTGTGAGGTATTGATCAGAGTCGATGTTTGCCCCTCTGTACACTCTGATAACCTGTAGACTTGAAATATGTCTAGAGGACATCAATAAATGGTCTATCTGGTTTCAAGTGACACCGTCGCTAGACCGCCAAGTTGCCAGATGAATCCTTTTATGGGGAAACCTCATGCTTCCCACCACCAAATCTTTTGAGGCTGCAAAGTTTATGGTTCTCTGACCATTTTCATTCGACATTATGAATGCCGTGTAGAGCTTTTGTGGGTCTGTATTGAAGTTCTTTTCCTATTTGGGCATTGAAATCCCCTATCAAAATCTTGACACCAGCTCTTGGACAACTATCAATGCATCTTTCAAGATCTTGTTAAAAACGCTCCTTTACATCTTCTTCGGATGGCTCCGTTGGTGCATGAATGCTCATAATGCTGAAATTATAGAATTTATCTCTCATTCGGAGGTAGCATATTCGGGGAGAAATAGCATTAATTCCAAAATCGAGCTGAGCCAGCTTCTTATTGATGATAAATCCAGATCCATAGGTAAGCAGATGGTCATGACAGCTGTAATAGTTAGTGTGATTTTTCTTGTTAAATATTCCCTGTCCTATCCACCTTATTTCTTGGATCGCAGCTATGTCTATTTTATATCAGTCCAATTGTGTTAGGAGCTGCTATAGAGCTCTCAGTCGGTATAGTGATAGAGTGTTCCATGTTCCAACATTAAAATCCATTAGATGGTTGCTTGTTGTTGCCTTAGTTTCAGTCCAGCTTGTCTCAGTACAATTCACAATAATTAAATTTAAGGGGAGGAGGTTAATCAGCCCAGACTCTGCCCCCGAGTCAGGTGAAGGAGCTGCCTCCTCAGAGCATCTTGACACACTCCCCTGTCTGGGACGGCTACCTAGGGAAGGTGACCCTAGAGTGGGTTGATGACCTTTGAATGTTAATGTGTGGTGTATATAGTGTGCTCTATATGGTGTACCATCTGAGTTTCAGAGTTGTTGTTCCCCCAATCTGGAGGACCAGTCGCTGATTGCAGTCATGTGACTGGGCAATGGGGTCGCCGCTTCCCTATGCCACTTTTTTTGAGAGGAAGAAAAGGACCTGGGAAAGAAAACAACTGGAAGAGATAGAGAACATAAGAGGTCAAAATGAAATCAGGAAATTCTACAACCATACCAACTAAAGCTGAAGAACTTTCAAACTTCAGACCAGAGCTTGCAAGGACACAGAGGGCAAATTAGTCACTGATAAGAACAAAATAATGGAGCAATGGAAATGCTATTTTCAAAGGCTCTTAAATGAAAATATCTCCTGCAGTAGAGTGGAGAGACAGGAACTGCTGGTTGGCGATCTGGAGCCTCCCGACATGGAAGATGTTAAAGACACCATAGGATTCATGAAAAATAATAGAGCCCCTGGGGCAGATGTGATACCATTGGAACTGTTTAAGTATGGAGAGGAAGAACACAAGATTTATGCATAATTTTATCATGGAAATATGGGTGGAAAAAGTATTACCAGATGATTGGTACAAGACAAGACTGCCTGATCCATAAGAAAGGTGATATCTTGGATTGTTACAACTATGATAGAATATCTCTGGTATTCTGTGCGTGTAAAATTCACTCAAGAATCCTCTTTCAGAAGCTACTTCCATTCGCTGAGAGAGAAATAGGAATATATCAGGCTGGAATCATGCAAGGAAGATCTATGGTCGACCAAATATTCACTATTAAAACAATCCTAGAGAGGGCAAGAGAGTATAATATATGCACACACTACCTCTTCGTAGACTTTGAGAGAGCTTATGATAGCATTCTACGAGATGAGTTCTACCACGATATGTTGGGCCTGGGTATCCGACCTAAACTTGTGCGACTGATAAAAGGAACAATGAAGGAGGTGCAATGCACTGTCAAAATCCAAGGTGATATGTTGGACTACTTTGAAATGCAGAAAGAACTGCACCAAGGAGTTTGCTTAGAGTGTCTCCTATTTACCAATGCCCTCGAATGTGATATTAGAAGATTCCAAATTCAGATTTGCGGAATGGTCTTTAATCGTTCAGTTTAATTACTAGGGTTTGCCGAAGACATTACATTGGTTGGAACAATGCGGGCAGCTATAAAAGATGGTTTCTTAGCGCTACAAGGAGCAGCAGTGAGAATCGGCTTAAAGGTCAATGGGAAGAAAACAAAATTTATGCGGGCCGACCTAAAGGGTGGAGGCCACAGAGAGGCAAATGTAGAAATCGGAGAGATAACTTTTGAAGAGGTCTCGGAATTTATATACCTTGGCTTTGAAGTGAATGTGAATAATGAAATGAATCCTGAAATACACAGGAAAATCATGGTTGCAAATAGAGCTTATTTTGGTCACCAGGGACATCTCAAAAGTAGAGTGATCTCTCGTAAAACCAAGCTGCTCCTGTACAAAACCCTGATCAGACCAGTACTAACATATGGGTCTGAGTGCTGGACAATGTCAAGAGCCCAAGAAACAGCTCTCCTTCGATTTGAACGTCATGTCCTAGGAAAAATATTCGGCCCAATAATAAATATTAATCAGGAGTGACGAATGCGATCCAACAATGAGGTGATGCAGCTAAATAAAGAAGCCGATGTTGTGAGACTAATGAAAATTGGCAGGCTGAGATGGGCAGGACACATTCTCCGTATGTTTGAACAGCATGTGCTAAGGAAGTTGATGGATGAACGGATCTACAAGGCGGGTAGGCAGACCAAGTTTCAGATGGGCTGATGGAGATGAAGCCGACTCCCGAAGTATCCTTGATGGCTACAACTGGAAGGCAGCAGCACTACTTGGAGAGAGCTGGCGGTTGAAATTGTGGGAGGCCTTGACTCTGGAGGAATTTTAGAGCCATTCGTGATGATGATGATGATATATCGAAACCAGATCTTTGTATAACATATACCTAATATTAATAACAGAAAATTTAAATATAGACCACAAAACAAATACGAAATGGTCTCAATAATTAACTAACAACTAATTAAATACATTTGTTTAAATTTCCCTTAAATTGATTGATTTACTGACATATACAAGGAATGAAGTAATGTAGAGTAACTTAAAAAGATTAAAGGCATGAAGGATAAGT